CGCAATATTTAGAGTTTTTATCTAGCTACTTATCCTCGGGTCAAAATTAAATAATAGAGATTTAAATAAAAATTCTGAGGACGTCTAATACACGCAAAGCCGTTGAAAGGCGCGTTCCGAGTCACCCGAACGACCACGCTACTAGCTTGGTACAGTTAAAAACAGATAAATCCATATCAACATTTGTGTCCAAGCCCGAAAAAACACAAGTTCCGTTCCCGTACACTGAACAGTCCTTTTTTTCTCCAAAATTCCAGTCAGCTTACCCCAGAATCTTTGGCTCCCCGGCGCGCGCAGAATCCCTAGCCTCAAAATTGTTGTCGTAACCTCGGCCTCCATCTCACCCCGCACTTCTTCACCCCTTTTTTCACTATCCAACCCCCGCCCCTCCCCCTATAAGGTATAATCTGGATAGGCCGCAACGACCTCGCACCAATCCCACGGTTCCCACACACACAGACAACTTCTTTTCTATGGAGAGGAAGGACCATGAAGGGGTCTGTTTAGAAATGAGAGGGTATGGTTGCGGGATGAATCTCGAAAAGCGAAGTTCGTAGTTCTCGGGGGTAAATTCAGGGATTGCAAGGAAATTAATCAGCTTTTTGGTTTGAGTTTCCAAAAATCATTACGTACTCAAGTGATTACGAGAGAGCGATAGCGAGAGCGAGAGAGAGGGAGAGAGAGAGAGAGAGAGAGAGAGAGAGAGAGAGAGCGAGGATGAGGGAGAGAAGAAATGAGAGAGAGAGAGAGAGAGACAGAGCGAGAGTAATCCATAGGTTCTCTACTTTAAATTTGGTTAAGACGCAATCATCCGTAAACCACTCTAGAAATTCAAAGAAAGCGTAACAAATCATTTCAGCCTCCAAAAACAAGAAATAACAAACAAATGAGGCGCCGAATCCCCGACTTCCCACGCCGAAACCCGAGAGGCTTCGCCTCCGACGACGGGTTGGGGTGGGAGGGGCTTCGCCGCCGTTATTTGAGATCGGGATTAGTATGGCTAAGTACTAACCACAAAAATGTCGCCTTATGTTGGGGGTGCACCCCAAAAGTGACACAGACTAATGCGCGTATTCTTGGGCAGCTAGGGCGTAAACAGTGGCTCAGCCGAGCGGGGCAGGGGGGGACCGACTGAATGACTCGCTGACCAGCTGACTGACTATTTAGCGGTTAGTCATTTAGGGGGTAGATTTTTCGGGTTAATATTAGTCATTTGATTTGGAGATGAACATGGTTTTGACATATAGCGAGATGATTACTCATGTTAATGAGCTCCAACCGGCTGGCAGAACCTTTTGGCGACGATTGAAACCCAAGAAAAAGAATCATTTGTTCAAATAGCAGCTAACTTTGTGGATTTGGTTTATGGACAATTGGTCATCTAGTTATTGTAAGCTCGCGCCCGGGTGAAAATCTGAGAGCAAGAAAAAACAAAATGGGGCTAACGAGCAAAAATCCTGATGGGTTGTAACGCCAGCTACAACAAGTTTTTTTACTAGCCTATAATTTTAAGGTTTACAGATAGAAAAATACATATGGAAAACGGATTTGTGACCAGCTAGCATCGATTCATTGCGGAATTGGATATCGGTCAGCTGGCAGAGTTTATTACGGAAATTTTTCAGGTTTTTGTAAAATTTAGCAAAGCTGTTTCAGAGGGCAGTTAGCAGCAAAGTTTGTAAAACTCGGACTCGGCAACTAAAGGAAAAATTTAGAGAACTTCAGGCCAACGAAAAAAAAAGTAGGTAGAATTCGGAGTATCCTAGATTTAAGGTAATGTCCGTCTCATTAATCTAAGGAAAGATTCGGACTATCGAAATCCCACCCAAATCCGATGGCACGGCAGTTACATCCATCTTACAGCCCCCTCCACCCCAAATTTTGACGGAAACGGTAGCATCGCCTAGGGCATCCCACGGGTGCACCATCTGGCTCGGATCTGCGTGCGCGGCAGAGGGGTTTAGACATTGGTTGAACCTGGAAATGCTTAGTGTTTGGGAGCGTCTTCCATTATGCCCACAAGGACATCCCCCCAATCCGCCAATCCCTAAAGCACACTTACGGAGCTAGGGGGAATGGCAATTGCCTTGGCACAACCATCTCCCAAAAAAGTTTTATTGTTGCCCATCTGGAGGTCGACCTCCTGGACCGGGAACGCGCGTCGTAAAACTCCTCCCGTTTTAATCTTCGGTCAATTTTGGGGTGGACACTGGTTGGGAAGACCTGGGGAATGGTCATAAAATTGGGATTGGAAAAAGATGGTTTTGTATTGCTTTTAGGATTCGGATTTGGTAGATTGGGGGATGGGCCTCAAATTTGAAAAATCAAGAGCGAGGGAGCTAGTGCAAGAGCCAGAGAAAAAGAGAGAGAGAGAGAGAGAGAGAGAGAGAGAGAGAGAGAGAATGAGGGTGAGAGCGAAAGATGCAGACGGCGAAAGAGAGAGATATTCGGCTACAAAAACCGAGAGACAAGGAGAGAGATCGACCTAGAGAGCGAGATAGAGAGAGAGAGAGAGAGAGAGAGAGAGAGAGAGAGCGCGAGAGCCCGAGCCTGAGGGAGCGAGACAGAGACGAGAGCGAGAGCCTGAGGGAGCGAGACGGAGACAAGTACAGAGACAGCGATAGAGAGCGTGGGAGGCCATGCTAACTACTGAAGCCGGGATTTTTTTTTGAATGAGTCAACTCGGATCAAAAGTACCCAATCGAATTTGTTGTTTACAAATTTAAGCGTATTTTGACGAACACCGTGGGTGGCAAAACCATTAAATAATTTATAAACAAAAAGTTGCCAATAACTTCACTTCCGCTATAAAATGCAACAACTTTGCCTTTAATTGGCCACTGAAATGCGGATTCTATTCATTGTTCTCGTCCTATGTATCGACAATAATGATCTCGCGAGAGCTAGTTTTAGCCGGGTCCCTGGCATACGCCTCCAAAACTACGCGGTGAATGACTTTAGACTGATTTTATGCGTATCAATTTCAGCCACAGCCGCTGATGTCTCGAACATATTGTCGGGATTATCTCACGCCACCTCAGGGTTGTTTAAAGGGATGGAGTAGGGTTTTCCAAAGAGTTTAGATATTCCTCATTTTTGTAAAAATCAAAAAACATTTTAAGTTCACGACGATGTTCGATGAAAAATCGCTTCACGTCTCAACCGAAAAAATGCGAAATACATATTCAATAAAACAAGCAACTTATGCTGTTGGAGGGTGGGGAACATCGACTGATGAACAGCTTCCGTTTTTGGAATAGAATAAGTGATACTACGGTCACAAGGATAAATGATATTTGGGTTTTAAGAACACAGAAAAATACAGAAAGCCAAAAAACTACACTCCACTTTCCAAAAATCGCCTCCCTTGTTCAGTTCAGCCAGTTCATAGCGAGTAATCATACGTGGAAAAAATGTAAAATCAACGAAGTTCTTCTCGGAACAACGTCCCTGAGGCGGTCGTCCTGGGAATGGACTTTATAAACGATAAGCACCAATTGTCGGCTATTACAAGTGCCGCTCGACCTTTGGCTTTTTGCTCTTATTCGAATATCTTTCTTACTAGTCTTGATGGGCTTTGTTGCTACGTCGCTAGCTAGCCGTAGCTTGGGACTCCGTCGAACGGGAGCTCAAACTGCCCCCAAAGCCAAAGGTAAATAAACTAATAAAAATTTATTTTATTTTAGCATATTTACTTTTTAAAGGCCTTTTACACACTTTATTGGTTTCTAGGTATGTTTTTATAGAGAGCGAAAGAGAGAGAGAGAGAGAGAGAGAGAGAGAGAGAGGGGGGAGCGGGAGAGAGGGAGAGCGGGAGAGAGGGAGAGCGAAAGAGAGCGAGCAAAAAAAGATTTCTAGCGCCCATACCCCGCAAAGCCAAAGCCCCAAAAGCCTAGAGCCCAAATCAGAAGCGCACATGTCATGTCTTCATCCGCCCATCAGGAGCCCCGAACGTCTCAAGTTTCTTCTACCCCTACCCCGGGGCATCCAGGAGTGAGGGCACAATTTGGGTAATTTGTGGGTAGGGACAGCCATCAGCCCCCACGACTGGCTAAACGACGACATGTGCCGTCGTGTCTCGTCTGATGGCCCATCGAATTCATGTTCGGCCCTGGTATTTAGCTTCGGGCGGATGCGGGGAATTTTGAACACTACAAAAATGACTGAAACCTGATTTTTTTTCGATCGAAAAACCATTAAAAATCTTTGCGAGACGCCGCATAGATATTATAAAAATTAAAAAGGGTCCTTGAAAAACTCTAAGAGTATGGGACGTTCTTTTAATAGAAAGCTGTTATCTTACGTTTCTTGAACAGAAAACCTCTGAAAAAGATGCTATCTGTCATAGAAAACTCGCAAATGACGATGTGCATCTACCATTGTTGACACGTGACTCATTAGCCAAACTAATCACGAGCTTCCCGTTTCCGGATCTCTGCGGATGACGCATCATGATGGTTTTTTTCAGTTAATTCTTGCACATAGCAACTTGGTTACTTGATTTTAATTGATTGGCTCTAATTAATAGTGAATTTATTTTTTCATTTAGAATTATGTAATTATGTAATTGGTTTTGCGAAAATGGCGACAAATTTGCCAGAGGGTTTTAGCCGTCGGAGCTAATGAATTTTTCTATTTTCGGCTATCTCACTAGCGCTCTTTTGCCGCTTGTCCTGCTCTAATCCTTGCATTAGATTAAATCTACATATTTGACGGGCTCGGGCGGGGCGATTTATCTTTGTCCCGCCCGGAGCCATTGTTTTTGGGTGGACAGGTGTGAAAAAGTCCCATTGGGTCAACGGCGATAAGATGGACAACAATAACGGCCGGTCAGCGGGGGGTAGATTCAATCTGGCGGTGAAGGATGGACGTGTATAACGGGAGTATTTTTGCAAAAAGAATTAGAAGCAAAGGCTAACGTAAATCCAAGAACCTTGAAAAACAAATATAAATAAATTCTTTCAACTTTTTTTACATCTACCAATACCATAAATCATTTATTTCCGTTCGACACCCGTTGTACCGAAACCACCAATCTTTCGTCGACTAGTGGCGAAGCATTTCGGCCTCTAAAATTAAAAAAAAAGATGACAAACTGAGGGGACCAACTTTCTATAAACCCCGGTGAGCATACGGCCAATATGGTCGCGATAGGGTCGCGTTAGGAAAATGATTTCGAGAGACGTCAATAGCCCGTGCCAGCCGTCGAATAGAAAAATGCTATTTAGAATGGCTAAAACGGCAAGTTTATGGTAGCAGAGAAGCAAGCATGAAATGCCATTTACATTGCGTAATCGGTTAGGCTTGCCTTGTGAAGTCTCAATATTAGCCATGATTATGGTCGCTCCGGCTATCCACGGAACGCAGACAGTAACAAACGGAACTGCAATCTAAAGGGCTCTCTCTCTCTCTCTCTCTCTCTCTCTCTCTCTCTCTCTCTCTCTCTCTCTCTCTCTCTCTCTCTCTCCCTCTCTCTCTTTCTGTCTTTTTCTGTTTCTCTTTTCTCTCTCTCTCTCTCTCTCTCTCTCTCCCCCTCTCTCTTTTTCTTTATACCACTGACTTGCAACGTGAGCACGTTGATCATCTGACGTTGCATTCTCCTAGTTTTCCCGCTCATATGGGGCGTGCGTGAGATGCTGAGCAAGAAGTAGCTATGACATACAGCGCTAGCACCCTGAAAATTCGGCCAACCTCACAATCACTCAATTAGCACAAAGCTGACCGCTACAAAAAAGAAGAGCGCCGCAAACGCAACCGTCGCGCAGCCCATCCTTTCCACGCTGATGGGCCACAACGAGAAATGGTCTTTGCCATCGTAAACCCACAGACCGGGCACCGTGCGTAACCAGGTGTGGCTTGGAAAGTCTTGGAATTACGCATGACAATTTCTTGGGCCTCCCTGAGCGTAGTGACTCCATTACCAGCGATGAACGAAACGTCACTAGGTTCTTTCGCAATAACGGGGGAGGGGCAAATTTCTGTCTGATACACTAATTTTTTTAAATAGAAACAGCGGACGTGTTTCTAAACGGATTTAATGTCCCGAAAGCAACCACTCCAGAAAATTCTGAAAAATTACAAAAATTTCTATCTTGGACCTGAAATGGCCGTTTTTCGAACAAAATACCGACTTTTTGAGAGCTTTTCAAAGTTTTTCGGTAGTTTGGCTTGTTTAAATATGGTTTATTGTAGTAAAAACACAATCAAAATGTCAGGCGCCTCAGTCTTACTCCTTAAGTTACCAGACTTTTCTGGAATGATACAAAAAAATTTGCCCCGCCCCCTCGATAATGCCAAGAACCCGTCACTCTCGCGACCTCCAGCAGTTTCAACATCTCCGGGCTGTCTGGGTCATTTTGGCTAACTTTGGCCTGCCCAATAATATAGGCAATGGCCACGACAAATCCAGCGAATGGTACGGTAGTAATGATGGTACAGGTAGGGACGCGTAGCCTAAAGGATTGCAATATAGCGAATATTCTTACACGGGTGCTTTTGGAGTTTCTGGACGGGACCTGGCTAGTTCGATAGAGAAAAAAATACGGAGCAACATCCCATTTTCAAAAAGTGCTGATCAATAACGGGATTCTAGAAAATTTAATTTAAACTTCGCGCTCTTTTTAGTTTTCGCGTCAATTTCCTCGGATCACGTCGTTTCCGGGCCGCTCAGGGCGCCATTCATAATCTTCCGCCAAGGCCTCCGTCACAGGTTGCATTGGTGTATTGGTAGCGCGCTAGTCTCAGAACTTTTTAACATTTTTTTTGCCTCGGGTTCGAATTTTCGCGCTGGCTAACCCTTTGCTTTTTGGTTGTTGAACCCGTTCTCGGTGCATAAAATTTTAATTAGCAAAAGAGCAAAAAGTTTACGACAAATAAGGATCGAAGGTCAAAAAAAACCTCGTAGGCCAACGCACTAGCCATTTGGCCAGGCCTGCGACGGGATTCAGGAGGCGTGAAGTCCCCATGTGGCAGGGGCCGTCGCCGCCGCAAATCACCTCAAATCACCACACGGGTCCGGATATCGGGAACATGTTTAATTAAATTAAATTTTCTAAAACGCCTTTATCGGTCAGCACTTTTTGAAAACGGGAGGTTGCTCAGAATTTTTTTTCTCTATCGAACTAGCTAGGTCCCGTCCCGAAACTCCAAAAGCACCTAAAAACGACTCCTTGTTAGCAAAAACAATGTTAGGCTTACTTCAGCGGGTGACTGTTAAGAAGTAGATGCTGATGGCGATAAAATATACAACCCAACGTAGCAATAGCCAACGCCATGATCAAGAGAGTGCCACATTGCTTAAAACCAAATGCGGGAATTCGGGCATTCATACAAACAAGAATCGCGGGTCCGTATTTCGCAGCAACGAGCCATGAAAGTGAAAAGCCGGAGGTGGAAAGAATAGTTCCGGTAATAAGGCATGAATGAACAGCTCGAAGATGGTGGAGCAGATCTTGGAAAAGATGGTGGTCACTCACATCAAATTTCAGAAAAACCGGACCTGATAGACAAATAACAACCATTTGTACTTCTTCATCGACACCGGCGACACTGCGGAGATGATCCACAACGTCGAGAAGTTCACGAAAATTCCGGCAACGGCAAAGCCCCTCATCGCGCCGATATATAATGTCGGTTCTTCATTAGTCCTTGGCGTCATCACGCAGTGAAATGAATCGTTTTAGGCAATACAACTTGAATTGGGGCCGGATTGGCAGAATTTCCGCAGGTGAATTCGTTAGGTTTCGTAAGGTCAAGTTTGCAGCTGTCTCTGGCGGTCCAGAATGCTTCAGGTTTTCTTGTTCATGTTCGTGTTCTTTTTAAAAGGTTGTAAGGTAGTGTTTGTCGCCTTGCTGTTCCAGTTTTTCGATCATTTTCAACCAAAAAAAAACCCGAAAAATAGCGAAGTCACGAAATCTTCATAAAATTCAGAGCATCATCGTGGGTTCATCTGGTTTTTACTGGTATCTACACAGCTAGGTTTTCGCAGAATTTTCATGTCAACGACAACGAGGAGGTCTTGCAACCTTCAAAAAGCGAATAGGATGTTCTACTTGGATTTGCAATGCAATGAGGGGAAGTGTTCACACGAGAGATAGTTAGGCGTACAACGAGAGAGAAAGAGGAGTGAGAGCAAGATACCAAGGTAGCGGGAAAGCGAGCGAGAGAGCAAGATAGAGAGTGCGAGAGAATGTAAGAGAGAGAGGGAAAGAGAGAGAGAGAGAGAGAGAGAGAGAGAGAGAGAGGGAGAAAGAGGGAGAGCGAGAGAGACAACGACAAAAAAACGATGGCGCAATGGTTAGAAATCCACGCCTTAGCTCTTCACCCTCGATGACATTCAAGGATATTAAATTCCTATATGAATTCGTTCGTAAGACAAAACATAGAAAAATTCCGCCGAAAACCTACTAAAAGCCTCTGTTTAGAACAATGGGCGCATGCAGTCACGAAAATGGGCGTCTGGTCCGCCCCCGGAAAAAATGTGCCAGCCGGGCGGCGAAAATTGCAACTTTAATTGCGCTGCCACCACCCGCATCGCACGCGAAAAAAAGCCAAAAAAAGGAAAAGGTGATCTTAAGGAAAGGCGTTTAATGTATTCCGTTCTTTTTTGCCTTGAACTACTCAAAAATATGGTGTTTTATTTATTTCATCACTTAACAGAGGTATCAATTAAGCCCTGCAATCCTAAAACCATACTAAATGTTTAATATGATTTATATAACTCGACCTTAAACGTGACTACGGTAAAAATGGCTCCTGTTGGGGAGATTCCCAGAATTACGACACGCTGCCCTTGACAGCTATGAAGAGGTGCTGATGGCAGGCCGGCGTTCCCTGGGGGGAGCGGAGGTTCGGGTGTATAGAAGAAGCCGCCTCCACATGATAAATATCCAGAAAAAAAGAAGCCCGAAACTTACTCCAAATTCGACATTTGTTGTACTAGGAAACTTTTGCAAAACTATGGCTATTTATGTTCCTGCGACGGCAAGCAAAATACCTAATTTTTTTCACTTTAAGATACCGGCCATCGCCATCTGGTACGTTTTTTTACGGCAGCGTTAATCGATTAAGTTTAAGTTAATCAAAACAAACTGTAAATTGGACAATTTATTGTTCATTTATTCACCTCAGAGTCAAAAATATTTTGTTTTCAAGCCATAAAACAGCGTGTCCAAAAAATAGATAAGTAAATTGACCATGATCAAATCCGTTATAGTTAAAAGTTTGCAAAGATTTCACGCTCGGAAATTCAGCATTAAGCCCCATTCATAGATGCATAAATTATAAACATTATTATGAAAAATTTTGCATTATGACATTTTTGCGTTAGATCCTAAATTTCAGTAGTGGGCCCTCGTGAAAACGCGAAGTTCGGTGTTACGTTCCAAACCATCATGCTTTTATTAAAAATTAATCTTTATTAAATGTATAGTATTCATCAAAAAAATTCCCAAGCTATTACGCATGGAAACTCTCGGAAATTTGAGTCGAGCCCAAAAATGACATTAGTGTCTCGACACCCTAACTTGCGGCAACCTATGCAGGGAAGTCATCGATTTTTCGTGAGGCGGGGTGGAATTGGTGGACCAACTAAATGGCAGCGATGAAACCTTTGTTTGGAAACCTACATTTTCTCGCTCCATGAAAACTGGGAAACCACATACTGCCGATAAGGCCGCGTTAGGAAAACGATTTCCAGCGATGTCAAAAGGGCATGACAGCCGTCGAAAAGGAAAAGACAATTTAGTACTTCTGCAAAAAGAGAATATTTGAATAGGCCGGTCTTCTCGCTCTCTCTCTCACTCTCTCTCACTCCATCTCTCACTCTCTCCCTCACTCCCTCACTCTCTCTTTCTCCTGACCACATACCTTGCGATGTATCAGTCCTGCTCCATACAATCGCCGCGCCAAATGTCCATGGACCGCACACAGTAACAGCAGGGATCGCTATCTATTTTTATAGCGTCTTTATTAGTTTCTAATCGATTAAAGTTATAAAATACTTTGTTAAATTTTGACACTTCGAGATTTTTACCTTTTTTGCTTTTGTGGTCATTTTGCATTTTTCACTCAAAAGTCAAAATTCTTCAACGTTTTGTGCTATTTTTTATATCATTTTTATATTTTAAAGCTGTGTAAAATGCTTTAAAAATGGTTTCTATTATGGCCCCGTAGAGAACACGGGGAAAAATTGGGTTCCCCGCTAAAAATCCCCCCTCCCGCTAACAGTCCAGAACTAAACCTACCTGCCACGTCAACGCGTTGATCATTTGGCGTTGCATTTTTCGGGTCTTCTCACACATATGATGCCCACCCAAAAGGTGGTAGCTGTGGATGACAGCACACATGCCCTGTATTTAAAGAAATTCAGTCTTAAGAGCTATGGCATTTTAGAGAAGAGCAAAATTGACAACAGGGGCAGGGGGGAGAGCGAGAGAGCGAGAGAGAGAGAGAGAGAGAGAGAGAGAGAGAGCGAGAGAGAGAGAGAGCGAGAGAGAGACAGAGAGCGAGAGAGATACTTCAAAAATCACCTTTCAAAAATCAACGTTTCCATTTCAATAAGGTGGTTTTTGAATGGGTACTCACGAGAACAAAATGACCGAAGCATGCAAAGCATATGGTCAGGCAGACCATCGTTTGAACGCTTGTTGGCCACAGCGAAAAATCGTGGCTTCCATCGCCAACCCACAGGTCGGGCACCGTGCGAAGGTAGCCGTGGTTGGGGAACTCCTACAAGAATCGAGGCCTCGTCAATCAGGAAATGTTTCCGTCAAACCGTTCCGTCACTACTCCAAATTACCGGATTGCCACTGATATTCTATTCGTTCTATTTTATTCATTTGGCCGTCTATCCGACCCACACCCATAAAAACTATGTGCATTTTCTAAACAAGCGGTGCGGGGCTCTATTTTTTTAATAGCGGGGCGGGGCGGGGCTTCATATAATAGCGGGACTCTATTTTTCCATTCGCCCCGCGAAAGAGGGTTGTATTATAGCCGGCAAATCATGTTCCAATTCGAATTTCTCGACTTCCTGACCCAGTCCCACCTCACCTCCAAAATCTTCAGCAAGACCGGGCTGTTGACGTCGTTTTGGCTGACCTTCCCCTGGCGGATCTCATAAATTAACGCGACGCAACATATCGCCATTGGTATACCGAGGGAGATAACGTAAGTCGAAGGCGCAAACCTGAAAATTTGGATATGTCTCGGACGACTTTTTTCAAAGAGCCAAACCCCTTTAAAATTTTCCAGATCAAAATAACGGACTTAGAAGTTTGAAATTTTTCTTGCTGCGTTTGTTTGATTTTGTTTAAGTTTAAAAATTTCGTAGGCCGGTATTTGAAATTTGCATCGAATCTGTGAATCTTTTAATTCGGCCCATTAACAGCCAAACGTGCGTTTTTGGATGACTGGCATTTCAAATTTATCGCTTCGGCTTTCCCGCAGGCGTACGCACTTGTCAGCCGGAGCCCCTTCCGCTAGCTTACCGAAGCGAATGGTTGGCGTGAAGGAGCTGCCGATGTCGATAGAAGACGCAAGCCGCCGTCGATGCGGCCACTGACGCGATGAGGAAGGCGCCGCATTGCTGAAAGCACGCGTTCATACACGGCATATGTTGACGTCTACTTGCGCAGAAAAACTAACATTCGATAAACCTTCAAATTTTAAAACTAACATTCTACTTTTGCTGCGGACGTTTAGTTTAAAAGGGATTTTGGGTGCAAATTAAGCTTAAAAAACGCAAAAATTCGGACTCTGACTCACTATTCCCTGCTTGGTTTTATGGCTCCCAGCGGCCAGTGGCCACTTCTTTTGCTTTTTGCATAACAAAACTAATTTTTTCATTAAAAAGCTTGTTTTGACCCTTAAGATGCTTGTCCAGCCAATGTCTAGCCAATTTGGCGTTGAAATTGATGAAGAACATCGACAACGATAACGATACTTTGATTTTTGTGAAAAAACCTATCGGAATTGCCGTATAACTTTAAAAATAAAAAAATCCGCAGCAAATTTGGAAACGGATTCGGGATCAGCGAAAAAAATTCTGCACAAGATGCAGTTGGTCCCGAATCGAAACTCTCACCTGACAAGGGAAGGGCACGTGGACGAAGTGGAATTTCGCAAAACCCGCCCGGCTACCCCCGGGTAATCGACTATGGAGAACACGATGCCGTTTTCCGATTTTCCTGCGGAGGCCTGTGGATCGAGATACAGCACTTCCGGAAAATGATGATTTGCATGCGAAAAATTAGAATCCGGGGGAAGCTTTATTACGCTCGCTCATCAGTATGGAATCACCGGTCGAATGGTCGATTGCTAAGCAACTAGCTTGATAGGATACTGACGAGGGTACGGATCCTCTCATGATTTTTTCGTTGTGCTTTTTGACAGGAACTTTTTGCACAATTCCAGAATTTCCTTGACTTCGACAAAATTTTTTTAGAGTGATGAATATCATAGATTTAGCTATCCCACCAAAAAAAAATTGAAATTTAAAAATATTCGCGAGAATGGGCAGCCATCCTCCCATCAGGCAAAAGTTTCCTAAAGTTTGTGAAAGTATTTTAGATTTCGTTACCCTGCAATAACGTACGTATTAATTAAAAATTTAGAGTTATCGCGGCAAAAATAGCAATGAAACCTTGTTCGAAAACCACTGGTGAAAAAGCAAAACGAAAAAACCATGAGAGGACCCGTACCCTCGTCAGTATCCTATCAAGCTAGTTGCTTAGCAATCGACCATTCGACCGGTGATTCCATACTGATGAGCGAGCGTGATAAAGCTTCGCCCGGATTCTAATTTTTCGCATCCAAATCATCATTTTCCGGAAGTGCTGTACCTCGATCCACAGGCCTCCGCAGGAAAATCGGACAACGGCATCGTGTTCTCCATAGTCGATTACCCGGGGGTAGCCGCGAGGGTTTTGCGAAATTCCACTTCGTCCACGTGCCCTTCCCTTGTGAGTGAAAACACTTTACACAACAAAATATCTTACAAAGAGGCCCCGCGGATCGGCATGTCGCAACAAAAACCCATGGGGACGAAAAGCCAACGGCGGAAAGAAAAGCTCAGGCTCTATGGCATGGATGAACAGCTCGAAGTTCGTCGAGCACATCTGGAATTTTCCGAAACTCTGGCCATGCAACCTGCCATTTTAACCATGATAGCGGAAGCGCCCATACCGACCTGATATACAAATAGCCCCCATTTATAATTTCGCATCGTCGCCGGTGACGCCGCGTAGATGATCCACAACGTCGACACGTTTACAAAAATGCCAATAACAGCAAGACTCGTCATGCAGCCGATGTATACTACTGGTTCCTCATAGGTAATCATCGATATCTGCCGTGAAAATGGGCAACAATTGGCCAGGCATGAACTTGGAAGGGTCTGGCTGATTGCTGGCAGGTGGCCTTTCCGTTACCGTCAGATTTCGGCACCGCTTTCCATTGTTTTTCAATTTATCTGCATTTTCATGGCCGATCTCAGTTTAAGCAGGTGTTTCTGGGGTTGAAGAAACCATCGGGCATCTGATCTCAATTAGAGAAACCTAGTCGTTTTTGGGTCAAACATCGTTTTATCAATTTTTCGGGATCATAAAATTTATTCAGTCGAATTATGTGCATATAAAATCTACCCGGTTTATATAAAATGAGTAAATACAAGTCAATGAGCCTGTAAATCGGATCGATGTCGTGAGGTCAGTTCCGTAATATTAAAGGCAAAATGGGTGGAAAGACAGAAAATCAAATACCCTGTAGATGAAAAATGACAAAGACAAAGGTATAGGACGTAACAATCGTAGTGAACGCCGAAAGCGTACGAAAACGTACGAAAACGTGGAGCAAGCTACGGATGAATTGCAAAAAATCACAATAGGAATGAAAAAAAAACATAAAAAGGTTTAGCATTTCCGGTAGGCCGTTTCAAGGATTTTCCCGTCCAACATTTGGTTGTGCCAGCCGGCGTGGAACTGCAAAAAATACAGTAATCGGCTTCAATTTTGGATACCTTGACCAAACAATTGTAATTCTGTAAATTATCATAAAAATTCTCACCTCTTTGGCGACATTTTGATGCAAAAAGTAGATGAGGGCGCTGATGCGATCGTCGTAGGGATCGTAGCGGAGCACAATCTGAGGTCTGGAAACACGTAGTTGGCCTTGCGATCCAAATATTAAAAATTATGGTACCGAATTTCGTCATGCGGAAAGATGAAGATTCTGAGATTTCACGATGTCGTGCTTTCTGATTGTCGAAGTCCCAAATGCCATAGCAAAAATGCAGACATTACGAATACCCAAATTCTACGATTTCCACTTTCTGGATTTGGAATTTTGTATTTCGAAATTATGGAATTTTGACATGGTGCAAATTTGGCCTTATAAAATTTCTAGATTATTGACTAAAAAAACGATAGAACCCACTCTGTATGGTCGAACTCAATCTCGTCCTCACGGATTCGGAGGCGCTCGGCCACGGCTTGAGTGTCATAGTTGCCGGGCAGGCGGTGCACCCAGATGGCTTTCGTGTCGTAGACTGTAAATTCAATAAGGTTTTGAAATTAATTTATTATATCTAATTTTCTTGTCTAGTTTATTAATCTGGGTTCAAAAGCTCGAAAAAAGTTTCGCTAATGGAAATATGCATGCGCAAATAGAAAAATAGACTACCCAAGGCGGCGATGATAAGCAAAAAGCGAAAAATGCTGAGTCCAAAATAAAAACAGATTAAGGTATAATAAAATGATACCGGGTTGAAACAACATTAGCTGATTTTGGAGTAAAGACAAAAGCCTTTTCTGACCTCTCAATGCTTATGGAAACTATGTAGAACTACCATGCTTTACATACCTTAAAAAATGGCTTTGGATTCAAATCAAAGCCTCAAAAAACCTCGCTAATTACCTTAAAACCCGGCTAAATACTTATTAAAGTACGGATTTTCCCCCACCAGACTTTAATGGAAATTTTTGAGATCTCACTATACTTTTCACCTACCAGGTTGTGGCTGCGGTAGACTATCCGCGCTGGTGTGCCTCGACTCAAAGTAGCCCTCATCCTCCTGCTTTCGTTGTTGGTAGATCAGACCTGGTGGCCCGGCGCTAGATTCCGAATCTCTCCTCCGAACCTCTCGATCTTCTTCCCGATTTTGCCGCCTCGCGGCGTGCTCAAATCCGGGCGGGGCTGGGATCGAGCTTTGGGTCGAGTTTGATTCCCTTCGATCTCTGTGTTCGGAATAGTGTTGCGTCGGTTCCGGGCCCCAGGTCTCGAGGGATTCGGGTACAACGTCATGCTCGAGACGTTCAGGGTAATGACGCATAGGTTCCTGGACACCTTCTCCTCGAGCTCGGGGTTGAACGCCCTGGAGTCGCGGTTCTGGACCTCGTTGCGTAGGTTCAAGTACTCGTATCTCTAGGGATTGGGGTACAACAACATGATCGAGACGTTCAGGGCCTCGTTGCGCAGCCTCCCGCCGCGGAACCTCACGCTCCCGACCCAGTGACGCCGGATCTGCAATTTTTGGATGAGCTTCGTCAGTTTTTGGGGATAAGCCAGGGGGTGACATTGCCAGGTTCTCCTTTTTTAACTCAAGCTTTAGCCCGTTTAGTTGCTCCTTCAGCTTGTTAGTAGGCTTCGCTAGCTCTTGAGCTTTCAGAATTCCCGTTTCCGTGGAATTCGGGACCTTTTCAAGTTGGGGATCCTGGCGGAGGAGCTGCTCCTTTAGGACGGAGCCCAGATTCTTCGGCTTTTCGAGCTCAATTTTCTTAGGTTCCGGTTTATCCTTGCCAAGCTCTTTCTTTAGCCGTTCCTGCTGAGCCTTCAGCACCTCGGCAGCCAGCTGCTTTGGGAGTCCGGGCGGGTTGGGGGTATTCTTGGGGTTGGGCCGGGGGGATGAGGCCAAATTGGCCATTACTTTGCCTTTGAGGTCTTCCATGATTTGCTGCCGAAAGTTGGGGTTCGTGGCGGTGACTGGAAAGTTCGGAATTGAGCCTGGGGGTCCGAAGCAGGGTGGCCCAGGGAAGAAGCCAAGCGGGATCTGAGTATCATAGGGGAACCCTGGGACCGGAAGCCTCCGAGGTGGTAGTCGCATTAATGGGATGGGTGGGAAAGGGGGAGGAAACGGAAATGGGGGTAAAAAGTGGTTAGGTGGAGGTCTCGAAAAATTGTTTAGCATCTCCGAAAGTTTTGGGATAGGTTTTGGGGCTTGGGCATGCTTTGTGGGGGAAGCATGCTTAGCAGACGAAGTAGGTTTAGGAGAACAAGCAGCCTCAGTCGATAAAGTAGGCTTATCAGAAGAAGCAGGCTTAGCAGATGAAGCAGGCGTCGCAGACGAATCAGGCTTATCGAGATTGCTGACAGGACCAGCCGAACAAGCAGGCTTAGCAGAAATAAAAGTAGGCTTAGAGCAAGGAATAGCCGGATTAGCCGGATTAGCCAAATTGTTAGAAATATTAGAATTCCTAACCGGCAAAGCATTAGCACGTAGCGGCCGAATCGTGCTCAGCGCGAACCCACTTTTTCTGGAAGCGACGTTCGGGACGATGACGGGGCGGTTGCGGGAGGGGACTGAAAAACGTTGTTTAGACGGCATTCAAGGTATAATATTTAAATTCATCTATATATTAACTTAAAACTCACATGGATCACTCGGGTCGAGATCGGGCTTCGAGATCGCGGCGTGGATTTCCGGAAATAAGTCGAGAATTTGCTTTTTGGGCATTCTAAAATGGGCCATTAGTTTTCATACATTAACTAAGTCGTGTTTTAAAGTAAATTCCATTAAAATGCTTACCCCAGAGAAACATGAACTGGAACGCCTGTGTTGAACCGGTCGGTGTCGTGGTAGAGGCGCACGATCTGAAGTTTTGGGATTTGGTTGGAGCAGAGAGACAGAGAGAGAGAGAGAGAGAGAGAGAGAGAGAGGGGGGAGAGAGAGAAGAGAGAGAGAGAGAGAGAGAGAGAGAGAGAGAGAGCGAGAGAGCGATAACGAGACGATGATAGAGAAAACAGCCGAATCCCGGACGATAGAACGTTTCTAAAAAACCTACCTCTCGTGCAATATATCTTGTTTCATAGTGCAGCACCGCCCAGCCGCAAAAGTCCCAGGTCATATTGGACAGGTATCGAATCCTTAAAATGGGTTTTTTTTGTGCTCGAATACCGATAGCGCCATTTTGCTGCCTTGCAAAAATCTACTAAATATTCAAAGCTTGCCCAAAAACCAACCGCTTGTGAAACTTTCCAGCGACCGGCTTGTGCACCACGCCACCAATCTCTGCCTCAAACATCTGTGGTATGTCTTTCCCCATCAGCTCGCTGTAGATGCGCCGAACGTGGACGAGGCAGCCCTGCTCGCGGATGAATAATTGAAAGTCTTCGTCGGATGTGAACACCGGTTCATCTTCCTTAAAAAAATGTTAGTTGACATCCGGCGGGTCCCAAAAAATTGCCCCCCTATAGCCACCGGAGCAGCGACCGGTTTTGACGATTTAGGTATCTATTGAATGCTCTCGGAAAAGCGAGAAAACAGGCATCTTTCGTTGGTCAATATCGACAATTTAATTCATGAATGTTCAGACCAAATCCTTCAAAAACCGCACGTTAATTGATAAACTGAAGCTAAAGGACGATGTTGATTTAGTGATTTATGAGATAACAATCGAGGGCTAAATGATTTTGGAAAGGAAAAAGCGCTTCTTTTCCCGCCATTTTGGGGGCTTTCCAATGGTGTAAAAATCATCCATATCCGATATTTCTCCGAACAGCTAGGAGGGTCGATTTTTTGGAACACCCTATACGCTTTTATTGTTTTAAGGTTTAATATATGATTGCACAAGGCGGTGTATAGACTTCAAACAACTACTTAAGGTGTATTTACTATGTTTCTCTATCAATACCCACTTCCTTCGGTGGTTTTCCCTGAGCCAATTCGTCTTCCTGAGCATCTTTCGGCTTCGTCGCCCACTAAAATGTTTGTTGCAGCTAACATTTTTTTGCTTTTTTTGGCTGTATATTCTTCTGTTTTCTGTTTCTGTACCACAAAATCGATGCGTGGACGTAGTTAATGCGTAGTGCGTCTTCGCTAACAGCAAAGCTACTTACCTTCGGCGGATCAGCTTGCCACCGACTTTGAACTTTTAGCAACGTCCTCTGACGCGCCATCTCCTGAAAATGCCGTTAATCTATAATAATTTCAACGTCTTGTAATAAGACAAGTAAGTAATAATTACAAAAATGAATTTATATTGAGACTTACGCTATCTTCCTCTGCCGTCGAGCTGTGTTGGCGTTGATCACGTTTCGCCGGCTACAAACAGGGAACTTCGTTTAAAATTTTAATAGGACTATTTTTCGTCTCTATCTTCTATTAATTAAGAAAGTAGATAATTAAATTATGTCGTTGAAAATGATACTTCGCAAAACGCACCGTTTCCGGTACTGACGTGGAGGGTTCAGACGAGTAGAATTCCTTGGTTTCGGGCACGTTTTTAATCGCATCGAGGGTTGCCTCCTGTAAATTATTAAATTAATGAATCAGTTTCATATTGCTTTTTAACGCTGAAGTCAGCATAGAAGACTTTTGTTACCTCTTTCTCGTGATTTCGCGGCCTGCACTCTTTATCCGGGGAGAAATATCGCTCGGATTCCTGCAAAAAATCAATCACTTATTAATTCAACAGATCTGCTTACCTGCTCCGACAGAATTGACTGATCTGGGGTGTGAAAATTATCTTCTTCCTCCTGAAACGAAAAATTTAGAGCCTGAACTCGCTTCGTTCTAAAAAGGGTTCAAAAACCAACACTTCTCAAGCTTGTGGAGCGGATGGAAATAGCGGGGGTGGCAATGTTTTTCGTCGAGCTGTTTTCCTGGAAAAAAAACTTATAAGCCGAGAGCGAGAGAGCGATAGAGAGAGAGTGAGAAAGAGAGATGGAGAGAGAGAGAGAGAGAGAGAGAAAGTGAGGGAGAAGAGAGGGACAGCAAGACCATGATAACCCACCTCCTCGGAGCGATCTGACGATGTAGATGCGGCTTCTATATCTTCCTGTTTGTCCAGCCCGGAATTCTGAAAATTATCACCTTTTTATGGTTTCTTGCTTTTTGAATCAACTTTACAGCGCTAGTATCATATATAAAAACTGACCTTTTCCACAAGGCCGCGAACAACATCCTCCACTATGTAGTCATCGTCTGATTCCTATAAAAAGTTTACCGTCTGATTTTACGGCTGTTTTTAGGTACGGAAATTCAAATCACGGCTTACTTGTTCCGGTGCGTTCCGATTATTCCATAGTTGTTCGAGGTCAACACGCATTATCTTTTTCATGGAGAATGAGAACGCGTTTCTAAGCTACAGTACGCCACCTGAAAATGTCTTTCGTTATTTGGAGCTGTTGGCAACATTTGAGGCTCAGATGAGAAACGTAAAGGAGCAAATCTGAATAAATGAAGTGGAGCGCGGCCTTGAAAGGGTGCAGATCACGGTCACAGACCATGGAAATTAGTCTCGTAAAATTGGGAGAGGCGCCGTTGGCGTTTTAGAGACGGTTCTTGAATGAGAGAGCGCAAAAGAGAGAGAGAGAGAGAGAGAGAGAGAGGGTGAGAGAGAGAGAGGGGGAGAGAGCGCGAGAGCGCGAGAGAGAGAGAGCGAGGGAGAGAGGCAGCGAGAGAGAGAGAGAGAGGGCGGGGGAGAGGCAGCGAGCGAGAGAGAGAGAAAGAGAAAGAGAAAGATAAAACTTGAAAAAGATAAAGTTAGGGTGTCTGACCAAAACTATTCCGTCAGCAAAACCTCAAACAAATAGGGTTAGGAAAAGCTAGAAAGCGGAATTCACGGTTATAAAGCGTAACTTCCACAATTGATATTTGAAGCCAAAGAACCGCGTGCAGGTTGACCGAAATTAAATCTGAAAGCCTAAAATTTGAAAAGATCCCTGCAAAAAAAGGAGTAGGGATGTGGTGCAAAGCTAACATTTTATAAAGTTTAAAAAATTTTTGGACCTTTTCTGGAATTGAAGCATTTTATGGAAGTGAACGGTAATGAAATATACCCCCGAAAAACCTATTGAAAGCGGCAATAGTGTTTTTAAGGCGAAAGGGCTGATAATTAAGAAATTAACGTGATTAACCAAAACTCTAGAAGACTGTTCAAGCTCAAGCGGCGACGTATAGTGTAAAGAACGTACGCTTTGTGGATAGGGAAACGGATTGTTAAAGGGTATTCAGTACGCAACAATACACCAGGCGACACCGAGCGCCGGCGGGCAAGGCAAATCGCAATTTCCACCCGCTGTGCGAGTGAGTGTGCAGTGGCCGGGGCGGGATGTAAGAAGCGGAAGAGAGGCGAAAGGGGATGGGAGGAGAAGCAAAAAGAGGAGCGCTCGACTGGGCGTGCTGGGGCTCCTTCTGCCTTTTTTGCTCCAGATCTCTATTTCTCCAGTGCCTCGCGTGCCGCTAGCAAAAACTATTGGCGTCCCATCGGGGTGCCTGCACTTTTTACGCATCAAACGATGTGCCTTCGCAACATACAGGTTATAGGGTTAACATATGCGGAAATTTCAGATTTTACACACGAAAATTGTTTAGAATAAGAATAAAAAGAGGGTCAATAAAATTGTAAGATATATTACCTCGACTATCTTGTTGAAATTGCCCAAAAAACAGCTTTTTACGTATGAAAATTTTTGAAACTGTATACGTTTTACGGTTAAAAATTTTTTTTAATTTGCTAATTTATTCTTATATTTAATGTTTTTAACTACCCAAAACGCACACCAGAACAAACTATATAATCCAATTAATGCGGAAAAATAAGGAAAACGATAAATCTGTAGAACTGACACAGGAAAACGAAGCACACAAGCGACTCAATTCAAGGAATTTCCAGAAATCTGCCATCAAAAAGTCGGCTTATCAAAACAAGCAGCTGCTTGCCGCGGGCTCTTTGAGTCTGAAAGCCCAGACACGGAGAGATACGAACTCAACTTTTGATAAAACATTTTTTACCCCGACCCGGCGTCTTAGGCCTTACTTGGAGCGCGCACGGGGGATCGGGAGGGACTGGGCTAGGCCACGCCCCCTTTTGGTCCCCAAAATGTATGGGAAAAAGCTTTCTAAAGGCTATAACTTTTTTTCGAAAAATAATTAGAAATTTTCCGCCTGGCGATCGATAGAGAATACTATAAGGAACATTTTAGTCAAAGAATTTGGGCGATCGCCGGGAAAAATAAGGACTTGAAACGTTTTGAAGCAAAAATCAAGATGATTTTCTGATTCGGCCTCCGGGCCGCCCCATCTGTTTAATTTTCTACCTGGAATTCGCTAAAGATTTGTTGTTGGTGCCTTTCAGAAACTTGTGCAAAAAAAGCAAAACGGTGTCGCGTCTTTATGCGAGGGGAGGAATCGAACCTGGACCCCGCGCCTGTCACTCCGACCGCCGCCTTAGACCATTAGGCCATGCCCGTCCCCACACCCCGTGCGCGCTCTAAGACACCGTGCCGAGGTTACGAGCCTTAGATGCCTGTTAATGCACTGGAAATTTGATAACCATCCAGATAAGAGAAAACTGCATATAAAAATTCAAAAAAGTAAAGTAGAGATCATGAAAAACCCAGACCTGGAGGCTTTGATGGCCCCGAGGTCCGGAGGGGAGGGATTAAGAAAATCAGCTAATACCCTCCCAATAGCCCCCACAGCTGCCCGTTTAGGACCGCGCTAGAGAGGATTTGGACATGGCGCTAGATGATTTTAAAGGGGCGACCGTGGACATCATGGAACATGAAAAGCCGGGGAAGCACTTTTGCATAGGTGTTCGAGATCGAAACAACGATAGGAGAGGCGAAAGGAAAATTAAGAGGTGGTTTTTTGTGCGAAGGTGAGAGATGCATAGAGAAAGCGACAGAGAGCAAGAGAGAGCGAGAACGAGTAAGTGAGAGAGAGAGAGAGAGGAGAGAGAGAGAGAGAGAGAGAGAGAGAAAGTGAGAGACAGGGGGTGACTAGAAGATTATACTAGTGTCTAAAATAGTATTATTTTAAGCCGACAGCACTGCATGGCAAAAAATAGCGATGCGTTCTCAAGCATCTGACCGGATAATCCGGGGTTCCTCCATACTAGCATCGCGACTTGCACAATCATTTTTGTTGTTTTGCCGTTGTAGCAACAATTTTATTTCTCTATTAACTACTTAAGCGTAATTCCGTCTTTTATCTAAGGCTCGAAATCACTAAAATTCAGAAAATCCGTTAAATTCGCTTACAATTGCGCTAAATTGCCGTCATTGTCAAAACGCCACAAAACTAAACCTTCCCTGAAAATACCGGCTTACGAGCGCCGAAAACAAAAATTTTGCGAAAAAATATTTACAGTCACCACGAGTCCTCGTTGAAATGCGCACTTTGCGAAAAGCGTGCGAACCGTAAGATCGTCCGCCGTAGATAAGCGGCTCCGCGTTTTGGTGAAGCGGGTTGAATAAGGGGATGGAGACGGCTTTGAGACAAATTTGGACAGGAATCGACAGCTAGTATGAGGCTGTCCGGGCCATTTTTTGCATTTTCGGTGTTCTTGATGTTTGCATACGTGTGGTGGGACAGCAAAAACGATACTTCTATGCAGTGCGGGGTCACGAACACGTTGGCGAGTAGGAAAACCGGAAGTGATTAATGAGGACTCAAGCAACATATAGCTTCCAGGCAAAAGAGATAAGAAGCTAGAGGGGGAGAGATAGAGAGCGAGATAAAGAGCGAGATAGAGTGAGAGAGAGGCGGGAGAGGGAAATAGCGAGAGACAGTGAGCGAGTGAGAGAGATAGAGTCAGAGCGATACAGAGAGACATACAGAGCATACAGATTTCCAGAGCAATGGAGAGGGAGAGAGAGCAAAAGCCGGCGATATCAATTTAAATATTTTGCAATCCTTGACCGATTTTCAACCCCTAACTCTAATACAAACGCTTTCTGAAGGCAAGCTAGCAGAGATTTTGACGGAATCACCATAAGGTTTGGGCAATTTACATAAAGTTACGAAGAACTTATGCCGCCAGAGAGTGCATGTGTTAGAGAAAGAAAGAGCGAAAGAGAGTGAGAGAGAAAGAGTGAAAGAGTGAAAGAGAGAGCGAGAGAGAGAACCAGAGAGAAGATAGCAAAAAGAAAGAGACGAAGACCCCGCCGGTGAAACGTCGCACAAAACATCCTCGCCGGCCCCTGGTGAATACCGTAAATAGGCGCCCTCAGAAAGGCCTGTATGACGACTAAACGGCCACACAAAGGCCGCCCAAAAAGGTTACGAACACGGCCCAAGAACGTGGGTACGAAAAAAAGCGTTGAGGGGCGGATGGTAGATTGGAAACTGGAACGAAATAGGGTGGTCGTGCAAAGAGGCCGCCGGGCATGGTGGCTGCCCACAGCGATGTGTGACATCTGCTGTGCCCGGGGAGGGAATGTTGCACGCCCCCGGCCAAGGTCGCAATTACGGTGTGAACAGCCGAAAGGGGACTATACCGTCAGGGTGAATGAAAATTGGTGGGGTTCGTGTCGAATGGAACTGTCCATTGTCCTGGGAGAGAGAGCGCGAGAGCGAGAGAGCGAGAGAGAGTGAGAGAGAAATCTGGAGAGATTGGTTTAGACACTTTGCAGACCTTGATCAACTTGTCAGCGCCTAGCCATAATAATAAGGCCTTCTGAAGGCAAGCTAGCAGAGATCTTGGCGGAAATACGCCCGTGAAATGTGTACCTAAAAAATACGCGGCGAGAGAGAGAGAGAGAGCGTGAGTGTGATAGAGAGATTATCCAAGATTTGCGAAGACAAATACTAGTTTCAACTACTAATACTAGTTTTTCAGCAACTGGGTGTCGAATTACATTACGGTGCTTATAACACTTTGTTACACCAAAGCGTCTAATCACGATTACGATTTTTTTCGGGAAGCTGCCTAGTGTAACAAACAGATCGGCGTTTCCGGTCCGGCTCGAATCTTTACACTGCGTATACCAGGAAAAGTACTATTCGAAGAACGATAGGTATCAACCAAAAAAAAACCAAAAAAGATACTTTTGCGTCGAAAAAACGTTTTCCACATGGATCTTTGCTTGCTTGCGTCATAAACTCGAACCGATCCGCCTAAATTTGGCACCAATTGTTTATTAATTGCCCGACCATCGCCGGCTTTGATCTGGGATCAATTTCCGAAGGGCCCCGTGCTAAATGGCACCCACCGGGCGGGCGGCTTTGAGTATGGTGTGGCGTTGGTGCCACATTTGTCACCCCCAACCGGACCCCCCCCCAAACAAAGGTGCGGATGTAATAGAAAATTGCATCCACGATTGGGGCAGTTTGGGGACGGGCAATTCTGTTGAATTAATTTTTTAGTCAGAATTTTTGATGTTTAGTCTATTTAAGAACTAAAGTTTAGGAAGCTTTGTTAATTTCCGGGGTTTCCAATGAAATTTGCAAGTTTGATTTCATGGTCTTCCATTTTTTATTGTTTTCTAGCACACATTTTAGAACCCTGCAAATTATGCCTTCACAACCCCTTTAGAATCAGGGAAAACGACGAAACCCAAAATAATTTTTTAGCTGATACAGAGGCCACGGATTTGAAAAGCCTTTGAATATATGAAGTTGGGCAGGGATTTCGTGGAAGGGAGGAGCGCCCGTAGCCAGCCAAGTGTGTTTATGCAAATGGCAGGTCCGGCACTCGTCCCACCCCCATAAAAAAGTAAGGTGACAGGACGGAAGGCGTTGCTTGACATAAATCAACCATCATCTACTTGGGCCCGGGGGTCAGCAGCTGGCCACGGGTTTTGAGGAGTTGGGGATCATTTAGGTATCCGGATGTTATACAGCTAGCGTACGCATTTCCTAGAAACGTAAAAAAATTTGGGATTATGCTGCTCAATTCTCGTTTTTATGGGATTTTTTTCGGGTAAAAAACACAAAAATCCTATAGAGGCTTACGAATTTCCTTGGATGAAAAAAGCAGAGTTTTTATACGAAAAAAATTAGACTCATAATGAGAAAGTTTACAATAAAAGTGTCAATTTCCAAGCATTAATAATTAAATCAGCGAGGATTTCCATATTATTCCCCAGCTAAAAACTGCGAAATCAATTGTAGGTTGAATGCGAAATTCGCATTATAAACATGGTACTACTGCACCATATTTGCATAATTGGCCAGAAATAAGCCTCAAAATTCGAAATGATGTGATAATGGCCATGTCAAACAAGACTTTTCACCCACTCGTTGCAAATATCACTGCAAAACACGTCTGCCAATTTCCGGCCTGAAATTAGTGATTTCCGGGCAGCCGCGGGGCTACCAAACCTGAGGCTAACCTAGTACACTGGAAATTGCAGCTAAATTGTACAATTCGAAGAGAGAAATTTGCACTTTTGGAGTCGAGATCCGTCTCAGCAAAACGCAAGGCTGTAGAATTTTTGCAAAAATCTTGAAGGAAACAGAGAATAAAAAGGACCATGTAACAGATAGACTATTGTTAATGCTGGAACGCCATTCATTAATCCGATTACGCCAGGATAGGTCAAGTGTGCGGCACGTTTGACCTGCGACATCACGATTTCTAGTCTCCATCCGATTTCTAATCAACCATAAATAAAAAAAATAGCAAACTAGAGCTCCAAATCAATAAAAAGTGTATTGCCGACATCAATAAAATCCGGCCATTCCCGGTGCGTGGGCAGACAAAATAAAGTCCCCGGGCTAGCGGGGCGATTCGGAGAAGCTAAAAATAGCTGGTGTTAGTCCCGTTCTTGTTGAATTTCAATTCTCTCGCTCTCGTCGCCAGCTGACCTTATGTAAGGCATGGATCAAAATCTGCACTGCCAGTCACTCCTTGCCTCCAATCGCGTGTGGTAGGGAGGTGTCAAAATTTGGCTCATGTTATGTAGGTGTGAAATGGGTGGGCGTTGCAATTTCTATAGCCAAACCTGTTTCCAGACAAGGATGCTCTAGATCTCTATAAATCTCTAGCAAAGGGTGAAGTGAGACAAGCGCGGACATTAATAGCAGCCACTTAGCCGGGATTGCGGTTACGCTAGAACAGTCTGGAAAAGTGCGCATCGCCAGACAGGCGACGTTACGCGAGAAAATTTGGGACATGCACCGTTAAAATAAACAAAGCAGCCGGGGCCAAAATAAACAAAAACAGTCCTGAAACACGTGCGGACAGATAGCAACAACATAAAAACTAACTACATAACAACTACAGCACAAATTAAATCGAAATTTTAAAGTAGTATACTGCAAATAATATACTAAACTGGACTATGCTAGAACATACACGAAATTTTGCTAAAAATGAAAACTCGTCGAGTAATAATGTCAGTAAGCGGAAGCACGAACTTCCCAAGCACCTGTCAAAATTTTCTTATCTTTTTGGCGCGAATTGACAGCCAAGACGGCGATCACCGCCCTTTCTCAGCTTTCGCGAACGTAAACCATATTTTTTTTTGCATCTTGTTAGTATGGCTATCACCGCAATTCTGATTAGTTGCGCTCTTTATAAAATATTTATTGGGCTAATTGGGCCCGTAATTTTCTTAAAACAAACACTTCCACACACGTGTTTATTGCCATTTTGCCAGACGCACTAAGATAAAGCACGAAATGGTATCACAGAGAGAAAGAGGTGCGTAATCTTGGCAGTAAAAAAACACAAAATAAGGGACGTAGAGCAAAAAATAAGTAGGCTATTCTTCTACAGATGGTAGCTGACCTGCAGCTTGCCCCATTTGTAGGTCCTGCCTTGGAGACGGTTGAAAACCTAGCGACATAAAGAATATTTTTAAGGATTAGCGACAATACCTTTTCGGCGATTATCGGCGTGTTCATGTACACAAGGTGGTAGCCGGGGTACTTTTCGATGCGGGGTCTAAAAATTAGGTTGATTAAGGATAAAGATACTCACTTTCCATCCTTCTTCTGGAAGAGCTGCGTGCTACCATCGACCAATTGAATAATTTCCTTGTCCGTAGCTTCATTGCCGAAACCGCGAATCGAGAGAACATTTGTGGCTTTTGGATCGGGGGTAGAAGATTTTGGAGGAGTCGGCGTAGATGTTGAAGCTTTTGAAGTGGCTTGGCTGGCGTTAGCCTAAAAAACGTAAACTATTACTATTTTCCGGCGAAAATAATGTGATTTTACAGCAAAAAAAAAACAATAACTCACCTGTTGTTCCCTTGGCACATAAGCTTTTTGGGTCGATGGCGCAGGAGCGGGTTTCTAGATAAAAGGTGTAATGTAACTTTTTGAAGATTATACCTTATCAAACTCGGGCTTTTTGATAGTTCCTAGCGGTTTCACTTTTTCGGCCGGTTTCGATTGATCGTTGAAGGGTTTCGGCACTTGCTGGTGCGACGCATTGGAATTTGAAGGGATCGACGATGAAGGGAGAGACTAAATATGCAAATACTTTCTTATTAAAGCCGCTTACCTTTAGTTCTGCTTCAACTTTTCGCTTCAGGATCTCCAAATCGAATTGAAGTTTCCTCCCTTCAACGTCGGAATCGTGGAAGCGGTTTTTTAACTAAAATCATAACGAAAATGTATATTTAATTGTTTACTACCTCTAGAGCGGCTTCCTCATTCGCCAGATACGCAACGCACGATTGGGTGTCGTCTGCGAGCAATCGCATGAACATATCAGGGCTAAAAATGTACATTTTAGCCGTAATCACCATCCACTCACCTTTCATCCCAATAAATCAAATGCTTCCCGCCGTCGAGCCACTTCTTGATCACGTCCTCTTGCGTGTCGTCCATCGGAATATTCGTAATTTTGACCCGGATTCGAGTGTACTAAATTACAGTTTTACTTCTATTTTTGAACATTACCGTCACGGCGCTTTCCCTCAACTCCAGGATCTCGCTCGTCAAGCGCAGATTCTTGCCTTCCAGCTAAAAGAATTTACAGGAAAATGTAGGCAAAACTACCCCCTTGATTTGCTGAAGATTGGCGGCAGCCATTTTCGTCTTAGCTTCGCGCAGTTCATTTGATTTTAGCTCTTCGCGCTGCAGTGCCTCGCGTAGATTTTTGATCTAAAACACGGTTTCAGGAAAAAGCTTCAAAACGTACCTCCACATCCTTTTGCTGGTTAGACTTCAAGCTGTTCTCCAGATGCTTGGCCTGCTCGGTTAGGCGTAACTCGAGCTTTTTCTTTTCTTCAGTTAGGTTTTTGATCTTCTCCTCAAATTCGGCTTTTTCAGCATTCCTTTGCTTTGTCATTGTTCCCTAAATAAGTATTTAATAAACAGTTTATCACAAAACAACCTGTCCTTTCCGCAACCCTTCAATTTGCGTGTTGAGCTCGTCATTTTCTTCGGTCAAAAGCTTCAGCTCGACCTCAAGCGCTTTCGTGTTCGCGCAAGTGGTGCAGGGAGCTGCTTGGGAAGTTGACATTGTAGGCGCAACGACTGCCGTTTTCTTCTAGGCTTTTTTTAGCATACTGAAAAAGGCTATACCACTTCCGGTTTTGGCACTTGACTCGTTGTCGGGGCTGAAGAAGGGCTGGTGGTTGCCTGAATTAAAAATTACGGGACAGAAATGGTAAATCTTACCTTGTTCGCATTCAGTGCGGTCGTCGCGAGCCAATTTTGTACTCGTTGCCGGTCGTCTAAAACAGGTTTGTGTGAAGAAAATTGAATTGAAAAACCCAAAGGTTAGACTGGCTTTGCTGCAACAAATCTACCAACCTTGTGAAGTCGACTTGACCGACTGAATTTGCTTCCCACAGTTCGCGCACCAGCCGCTGAAAAAGTGCAAATTTCAAAGAGTCGCTTATAAAACAACCCGTAAGCTTTCGGAAGGCACGTTCGACAAACAGGATGTCCGCATGTGGCCATGTACATATTTATACCGTCTGAAAAACGGTATTGACATCGAAAAGCGATCAAACGCACCCGCATCTACACTGCGACAAATGCTGCACCCAAGCCGGCGCCCATGCTGTTCGAATTTGAAAAACGGCGCAAAGGTCGCGCTCGCGGTTGGCTTCTGCGCAATTACTTATGTACCGAAAAAGAAGGAATCATTACCGAATTTTGTGCGGGCTTTTCTGGTGCAGGCGCAGCTTTCGGTGGGCCTGCAGCAGCTGTGGGCGTTGGTTTTGCGTTGCTCGTTGTAGCCGTGCTCTGTCTGCTTTGCCACTCTCTTAGCCGGCGAAGGTTCGCTAAAAAAACAATTGTTAAAAACGTTAAACAATTTGAATCACCATAATCAATAAGCCTGATCGTTTTCGTGGCATAGCAGTACGAGCAGTATCTGAAAATTAGGATTTCAAAAAGGCGGCGAAAGTGGTTATTTGAATAATTTTTCCGTCGAAAAATCGGCATGTTCCTGTAAACTACTTTGCAAATACAACTCTAAATACCTGGTTGACCCATTGCTACATGTATAGCAAATAGGGTGCCCACAGTCTAGCATATCGATGTGAAGCCCGGCTGAAACACAGTTCGGAAAGGTTGAAAATTTTTTACCGTTCGAAAAACAGCTCCCGCATCCTAATGGCTGTCCGTTGATTTCAAATTTGTAGGGGAGCGATTCGGCTGTTCTCGACTAAAATTTGTGTTTCAGAAAGATGTAATGAAAAATTAATGCTAACAAAAAATTACAGGTCTAGGCGGTGGCTGAGGCGGGGCCTGGGGAGCAGCCGGCGTTGATTCTGTGGCTCCCATTCTTCCGGTAGAAAAACCTAGAAAATAGCATAAAATCCATGAAAAATAAAGCAATTCGAAAAGATGGAATGACTTATCATGAGAGCCAAATTTCTAAAGCCTAAAAAAGAGCGTTGAGCCACGATCGACATCGGAAAAAATGCTATCGATCAAAAAGCGTTTACAGCTTGCAATGCATGCAATCAAAATGTTTCCTGAATTATGGGATGTTGAATAAAACTATGAAATAAAGACGATGAAACGGGTTGGCGCTAGAATTGCTTATGCGACTTATTTGCGGTGCTGTCTAAAGCGTGACCCGGGTGATACAGCGCGTAACCGGACCGCGCCAAATTATCGCGTTCAAAAATCATCACTGTGTTGCTGTCGGGGAGGAAAGAAAGTCGTGTTGCCTTGATTTTGAGAGGATTAAAAGGACTCTAGAAGCTCGCTAAATGGGGGCTACGCGACGCTACAATACACACCGGTTGATCCAGCCTAGGCGCTCGGAAACTTCAAAGCCTTGATGCAGCCATTTTTGAAGTTCCATTTTCTTCCGGTTTTGTCACATTCGATTCCGCGCATTCTGTCCTACAACTCTGCAATGCATCTTATGGAATTAGGACCTAAATAAAGAGTTATAAGCCATCAAACATTTCCTGGGTGTAGTCCCTGGATATTCAAGATTTTTACCAGTTTTGCCATGTATTAAATTCGTAATTATTGCATGTTATAAGAAATAAAAGTTATTTCTTGTAATTTCCCTGTTATAACAGGAACAATCCATGGTCGCGGCCGGTACCTTACCAAAAAATTTTGCACACGCAGACAGGGTTCAGGAGCGGAAACAAATTTCCTTAGAAAGCTTTGAAGTGGTATTTGCAGTTGCAGGCTGTTAGCGGGTCCCCGGTATATGTCGGCTACGCGGGGAGGGATTTACGCGGGGGGACGGACTGTTGGGGTCGAGCTAACTATTTTTTTTTGCGTTTCTTTTTGCTACAAACAAAACTCTTAGTATATTTTTCGACGCTCTGTCGAATGACACTAAAGAAATTTTGTAAAAATGTCGAAAATGTCGAAAATTTGATTTCCTTCTATATACTCCATGAAAACAACGTTTAATACTTGTTTTTGTTATAACTATTTTATATTACATTATTTTCAGCTAAAATTAAAACTCTTAGTATATTTTTGGATGCTCTATCGGATGGCATCTTTAAAATGTCGAAAAAAATAGCGCGAATATCGAAAAACAGCCGCTCAAACCGATTTTCAAATCTTATTTTTATATTTGCCATAACTTTTTTATATTACACTAATTTTAGCTAAAACAAAAACTCTTAGTATATTTTTCGATGCTCTATCGAACGCCGTTGCGAAAATTTCGAGAAAATAACGAAAACATCCAAAAAGGGCTGCCTGTCCCGTCCCCCCCCGCGTAGCCGACATATACCCGGGTCCCCTTTGAACCCCTCGGCCTCGTTGAATAAAACATGGTAATCGAGAAGTTTGCGGGGTAAAGGTTGACCCCCGAGCAGTGCTGCTTCCATTTCCCGAAAAACTGAATTTCACGGGCAATGCAATCGATTTTCTGCATCCTGTTCTTGCTCGTCGTGGCGATTGCGGTAGTTGAGGTGGTTACGGTAAAACGGAAATAGCCAACATGGCGATGTTTTGGATGCGTTTGAACGTTGTCATTTCATCGTAAACATTTCGAAGCTCGACAGCCATTACGGCGAAATAAATAAGGTAGACTTTTCGAAATGTCGGCATTCTGTATACGGGATTTTTTGATTTCACGGCACATTTGCTGATGCTAACCAAAATCCACATGTCGAAAATTCAAGATTAGCAAAATTCGACATTCCGATATTCCGATTGTTTTCGTATCTTTTTGGTTGTTTTATTCGAATGGCACTGGCTAATTAGGCGTTATTTCAGAGATGTTAGATACACTGGTGGACATAATTATAGCCTCAGTGAAAATTTTTCGAAAATCTCGATTTCTGGCGGTGTTGGTTGAAAGCGTTCTATAACGGAAACTAGCGGTATTCTATCACGATTTCATAACACAAACCCTTTTTGTGATTCTCTGGACAAAAATTTTTTTAGGAATATTATCCCAAAAAAGGCACTTTGAAAAAGGGACATAATTATAGCCTCACTTGGGTAACATTTAAATAAAAATTAAATAATCGCACAAATCAATAAGAAACGATTCCAATAATGTTTGGCTAAACCATTTCATGTAATTTGATGGGGGGAGATGCCTCTCCAAGCCAGAATACAGGCGGGCGATCGACTTTTTGCTTCACCGGATGCGAGGTGGAGACAATCCTCTGTTACGACGCCATACTCTTTTCTTCTGCTTAGATTTTGAATACCGGGAAGCTTTGAACATGGCCAATCACGTTACAGTCAATAAAATTACCCGATGACGCTAAAAAACCCGCTTTTAAGGGATTGGTCCGACCCTGGGGCCCATTTGGCTCGAAAAATTAAGGCTTCATCTTACTGTTAAATCGGATTCTGATCCTGATTTCGATTGGAAATGTGCTGAATTCCTCAGCGCAACGAGTCGCGCCAAAGCGGATGAACGCCACTGCGAAAATCGTGTTGAGTTCGCCCGTCACCGAAGATGACGGTTTTGAGGAAGATACGGTAGGCTTCGGGCCCCCCCAAAATTCTCCAGATCATTGTTTCCAATGGTTAGAGGCTCTCGCGTAGCCATCCGGAAAGGTCGCTTTGTAATGCGCAGAAAAAAAAACTGATTTGGCCGAAAAAAATTTCAAAGTGTTGCTGTGCCCGTTTGGAAGAAGAGTTCTTCACGAGCAGGAAGGAAATGATGCTTGATCTTGACTTCAGGAACCATGTCAATAATTTCCTATTGTTCAACTCAAGAAACAGCACATTTCCAATCGAAATCAGGATCAGAATCCGATTTAACAGTAAGATGAAGCCTTAATTTTTCGAGCCAAATGGGCCCCAGGGTCGGACCAATCCCTTAAAAGCGGGTTTTTTAGCGTCATCGGGTAATTTTATTGACTGTAACGTGATTGGCCATGTTCAAAGCTTCCCGGTATTCAAAATCTAAGCAGAAGAAAAGAGTATGGCGTCGTAACAGAGGATTGTCTCCACCTCGCATCCGGTGAAGCAAAAAGTCGATCGCCCGCCTGTATTCTGGCTTGGAGAGGCATCTCCCCCCATCAAATTACATGAAATGGTTTAGCCAAACATTATTGGAATCGTTTCTTATTGATTTGTGCGATTATTTAATTTTTATTTAAATGTTACCCAAGTGAGGCTATAATTATGTCCCTTTTTCAAAGTGCCTTTTTTGGGATAATATTCCTAAAAAAATTTTTGTCCAGAGAATCACAAAAAAGGGTTTGTGTTATGAAATCGTGATAGAATACCGCTAGTTTCCGTTATAGAACGCTTTCAACCAACACCGCCAGAAATCGAGATTTTCGAAAAATTTTCACTGAGGCTATAATTATGTCCACCAGTGTAGAAGATAGAACCGTGAAATTACAAAGTGCAAAGACCCTCACATAATTTCACAGAAATTATCGAACTTAAAAGCGCATGGTAATACTTTGGTAAATGCATTTCAGCAATCCGTTATTGTTCGGTGATGTTCACTTATTTCATGTTATGCTTCACCGGGTTGCAGTCATCTAATAGTGTCTTTTCGGAAATTGCCCTCCAGACTTACGTTCGGCTCTGAATCCACCGTTTTCTTCAGCGTCTCCACCTCAAATCGAAGCTTTTTCCCAAAGATTACAAAGCCTTCGAAGCGGGACTTCAGCTGAAAAAGTAAAGCCAACTTAAAATTACCAAGTTTTTACAACCTCTAATGCAGCTTGTTCATTTGCAAAGTAGGCGATGCAGGATTGGGTGTCATTTTCTTGGAGTCGCATGAACATATCAGGGCTGAAAAGTACTTTCGGCTTGTGTTCAAACAGGTAATATCCTAGTTAAAGCCATAACTCCGAAAACTAAAATGCCGACAGGCGAAGGTTTGACAGCAAAAATACCGACAACCGAAAATTCCGACAATGAAAACTTCGACAGACTCTTAACGCCGTGTGAAAGCCACTTCCATTGAAACGGCTATTTAGGCTCGGGTTTTTGGCTGTCGGGATCCTGGTTGTCGGGATTTTTGCTGCCGGGATTTCGGTCTGTCGGAATTATAATCGTCGGGATTTTGGCGTTTTCCCCTTCCTACCATTCATCCCAATGAATCAAATGTTTCCCATTGCCTAGCCATTGCCCGATGACATCTTCCTGCGTGTAATCCATCGGTATATTCGTAATTCGAATCATGGTCCGGGTGTACTACAATACATTTCTATTTTCGGTATTAAAAACACTACCGTCACGGCGCTTTCCCTGAGATCAAGCACTTCCCTTGACAAGCGCGAGTTGGAGCCCTCCAGCTAGAAAAAGACGGCATTAACTAAAAGGAAAAGCCTACCGCCTGGATCCGGTCCATATTGGCAGAGCAAGCGTGCTCTTTAGCTTCGCACAGTTCCGTGTTTTTTAATTCTGCGCGCTGCAGGGCATCGTTTAAGGTTTTAACCTTAAAGGGAGGGACCCATTTCAGGGAATCACTACCACAATGTGGCAATTCATAATGGCGACATTTTTTTGTGGCGATTTCGCGGTAGTTTGCAATGTAAATGCCGACAATCATAAATGCAGTTGCAAATTTCGACATTTGAAAGTTTCGACATTAAGAAAGTACTCGATTCTGTGTTAGTCGCTAATTCGTGCCGACTGAAAAAAGGTGTTTTTTTTGTTTGAGCCGTACCTGCGATTGGCTTGCTTTTAGTTCAGCTATCTCGTTTGTCAGCTGCACATTGCGTTGAGCGAACTACGCAAAATTTTTTACAATGATTATTAAAATCAACCTCTGCCAAGAGACGGGCGGCAGTCTTGTTCTGTTCTGCAAGTTGTTTGGGGACTTGCGCTTTGCTCTTGAGGGCTGCTAGTTCTTTTGACAGGCTCTTTCGAAGTGCCTCAGATTTTTGGAGCTGAAATTGACGTGGTTGTGAACGGTTGTGAAGCTGTACCGAGTGTCCCAAAAAGCACCCCCTTCTCCAGCCGACTGCAGACGTATCCGATTTTTATGATTTAGGTATCTATCGAAAGCCTTCAAAAAGGCGAGTCGAGCACGTCTCTTTGATCCACAAATTTTTTCTAACATTTACCAATATCTCGTGAAACGGGCGGGTTTTCTGATGTTTTCCCAACCAAAGATTTTGTACAAAAATCACGATTTATAGAAGTTTAAGCCTTTGCTGGCAGCGCAACGACAGCTTTTTCAAAGCCGTTTCCGAAAATACAGCTTGGATAGCGCTTACACGGGTTCAATTCAGGTTTTGACAAAAAAGGATTTCCTTTTGCAAGAAAAATGCCGAAAATCGAGCAAAAAATTCCGACATTTCGGAAATCGGAATGACGTGCTGGACGCGCCTTTCCGAGAGCTTACCTAAATCGTAAAAATCGGATCCTTCTGTCGCTGGCTTGAGTGGTCATTTTTTTTATTGGAACACCCTGTAGTCATTGAAACTTGCCTGGTCGCGAAGCTCGGCAACCCTTCCAAATTGGCGGCCTTGCCCCGATAACTGTTTCCGAAGACTTTCGCAGTTTTCATTTTTAGTTTTGATCTGGCGTTGCAACTGCAACACCGTTTGCTGGAGTGCGGCTATTTCTCGGTTTGTTGTCGTTGTTGGAGATGTCTGAACACACGTAAAATTGAGGAATGACCAAGTAAAAACCAAGTTTTTACAATATTTCTTTTTCCGCGACAAGCTGGTTAGCGCCTAGAAAAACCAACCTTCGCGGACGTGGATGGTGAAGGGTCACTTGGTTCCTCGGTATTGAGAAGTTCTATTTCCTCCGATAAGGTATCCACCTGAAGCGAACATATGGAAAATTAACAAGTTTTGTATTTGTATTTTTTTATCCGACATCCGACTATCTGCCATGCCTTCATGAGACATTTTTAACGAGCAGGAGTAAAATGTTTGAATTAAGCTCTCCGATTTTTCTCCCTCTCGCTCTCTCTCTCGCTCTCTCTCACTCTCTCTCTCTCACTTTCTCTCTCGTTCTCGCTCTCACTCTCTCTCTCGCTCTCTAGGTCTCTCCCGTCTCTATCTTGTTCTCGCTCTCTCGATCTCCGACCTCGGTGATTTTCTGGTCAATTTTCATAATTAAAAAGTCTAGAATGAACAAAATTCGCTGAGTTCCAAAAAAGTGAGGATGCCAGAGATAGCGTCAGACTTTTGAAATTCAAGCGTTTTCGCGTCCAAACAGGGGCGAAAAGATCATGCGGCGCGGTCGCGTTGCGGCCGCATCTGGCTTAATGCCAGGAATCAACGCTGAGGGGCGTGGAACGGACTCCGGAGCCCTTTTAATATTATTACCAGGTCTGCGGCTTCTGGCGCTTGTCCGTCCCGAACTGCTAATATCATACTAAGGCGTGCGTTTATCTCAACTTCATCCTCTATTCTCCACTTGGCTCTCTGCTCGGCCTGTTGTAGCGTGGCGATTTCCTTTGCTTGCTTCTTCACCAGACATTCCTAAAAGCTTCAGCTCCCAAGAAGCAGCGCCGAACGCACCAGTTTTACCAGCAACTTGGCATTTTCCGTCAAGAAACTTGGTATCGAAGTCGTGGGGCATTCGAACAACCCCTGATTCGACAGTCGCAGGTTCCGCTCCGCGAACTAAAATAATTAAAGGAAATTAGAGGCACTCAACCTCGTTCAATTCCCCTTCCAAGAACCGCTTGCTTTCCTCGAGCTCCTCCACTCTCCTGCTCGTAGCTTTCAGCTGTTGCCGCAATTTTTCTCGCAACTTAAACGTTTTCTATGGCCAGACAGGGAAGACCTCTAAAAGTCATTACTTCTAAAATCATTTCTTCTAAAAATCATTACTGCTCGAAAAAACCTTACTTCTAAAAACGTTACTTCTAAAACCCGGTACGTCGGACTATCAGTTTTTTGGGAAGTTTGGCCATATTTATGCCCAAATCGACGCTGCGAACTGGTTGACTTTCTTTCCCCACAGCCGAAGGATTTCAAAGTTTTCGGTATTTTTGCGTCTTTTGTTGGGTTTTTGCAACGCCATTCGATAGCGCGTCGAAAAATATACCCAAAGTTGAAATTTGAGACAATAATGTTAAATGAAAAAGTTATAGCCAAAAACTTCCGGCTGGGGGGGGGGGGGGAGGGTAAAGTAAAGTGTAACCGTCGAATTTTAGAAGTAACGACTTTTGGAGGGAATGGTTTGTAGAAGTATAGACTCTTAGAAGTGATGATTTCAGAAGTAATGGTGGGCTCTGAAACGCTCAGTTGACCTACCATTTTCTGAAATTCAGCATCACGGCAGTACATCGTGGAGTTTATTCCGCTCGCAGAATACATATGTATTTGGGACTAACGTTACCTGGCGCTTGGTCCCTGTTCTGATGTCATCAAACTCCCGCTTGAGGGCCTCGAGCTCGAGCCGAAACGCTTCCGCTTTTTCGTATCCGGCGCAAGGCATGATGGACATGACCGTGCTTTCCTTCACGACTACCCAACGCTCCTTCAGCCGCTCAAGGTCGTCTGAAAAAATTGGACATGCTCATTTTTCAATTATACCTTCGTCGATTGGAATCGCGTATTTCGTTGGTGACATCCAGTTGCAGTGCCAGCAAACGACGCTAAATTAGTGCGATTTAATTAGATGTGTTTATGTAAATTTGCACGTAACGTAAAAATAAGAAACTCGCTAATTTTAACGAATTAAAATGATGTCTGAAAATTACATCTCCACGGTTTGCAGGCATTTGATACAGACGGGATGTTGGCAGGTCAACTTGCGGCGGTGAAGGCCTTCTAAAAATGTTGTGAGGTAGCTTAGGCTTGGGTTTAGGCTGGGTTTGGGCTTTGGCCGAAGCTCAGGCTCAGGCCTAGGCCTGGGCTTAGGGTTAGGTTAGGCTTATGTTTAGGTTAGGCTTAGGCCTAAGCTTAGGCTTCAGCTTAGGCATGGATTATGCTAGGCTTAGGCCTAGACATCGGATTTGGCCTATGAAACAAAAGAAAAATAACTGTTTCTGTAAACGATAAAGCGTAAAACTGACCTTCCCCTCGACAGCCACCACATTTCAGGATTTCATCGTTAGATTCGAACCTGTAACCATTTTCTGGTGCCGGAAAGGATAAGATCGCGCCCATCTTGGCGAGGAGTATAAAGCTGAAATATGAAACGTTGTCGTAATAACCGGCACAGGGTGAACATCGGAAACCGCAATAAGCGAACCTTCAAATTTACGTTTTAATGGTCAGCAGGGCATTGGAATTTCCCCCGCGAAGCTGCTATGTTTTGTCTTTGGCAGTGAGCAATTGGAAGGAATCACACACAAAAAACGTATGCAAGGCAGGCATGCCGTTGCAACCTGCTACCCTCCCATGCGAGGGTGTCCTCCAAATTCCCCCTGATTTGTGTCTCCCAAGATCGATAGATATGCACCTGGTCGATTGCTGGTGTCCATATCTGCCTCATTGACGTATGCCTAGCAACACTAATATCCTTCCGTGATACTTCTTTCGAGTATCGAAAATTTCGAAAATTATTTGTGGTGCTTTTAAATCCAATATTTAACCCGCTAGACGTGATTTTAGCGGTTTTAAGATGACGCTCTATGGTGTTTTATAGTACTGTAACGTAGCTCTAGCTCCAGACCACAAATCGTAACGTCTCGTAATCATGCTAGATGCCCATTTTTACGCAACTTCCGGATTATTTAGAAGAAAACGCACGTTTTTGTAAAATTCTTCGTGAACAAATGAAAGAGCCGGCGTGGATTTGCTGGATGAATATGCAGCTGAATTAAGCGCCGCCAAAACCTTTTTTGTTTTTCCTCAAATCCTGCGCAGATTTTGTAACGTTCTACAAACTGAAATTTTTGGGTTTGTGTAGGGGAAGTATGAATCCGTCGACCATCAAAAGATTTATTCAGCTTCGAAACTTTGCTCAATACAGCGCAGCTTTTTTGCAGACAGCAACACGATAGTGAGCATCGCAGTCGACATCGTTCCACATGTGCAGATAGGGCCTAAAGGGTAAGGCATTTAGTACAGGGCGGCCCAAAAAAACGCCCCGCTCGGCATTTATGCGTATTACATCCCATTGGTCCCAAAATTCGAGTGGCGGTGTATCAGACTCTAAATAACCACAATCTTGAGTTATAGCCAGATCGCTACAGTAGTTCTCGAGATAGAGCAAAAAACCCACTTGTGTTTTACGTTTTTACCATGTTCCGGTAATAATCGACCCTACAAATATTAAATCAAAAAGGTGCGGCAAGCCTTCTTTGCCCCTATAAATTTTTCCTGAGAAGAATTAATCAAATAAACGCGGATTAAACAATTGTTGTAACCCAAAGTTACCCCCAATAGTAAGCGGAATTCGGGATTCACAGCCGAAGGTCGATCGAAATCGATGCAATGTGCAAAAAGAAACCGAAAAAACTGTCGAGAATTGCGGAAAAAAACAGTATTTTCATTATAACTCGAGACCTTAGGTAGCTATGCGATTAAAAGTCAGGATTGTTGTTATTTAGGGTAACATCTCTGATCGCCTCTGGTCCAATTTTGGGGTCGATTCGATGTAGTACGGCGACATGCCGAAGGGGTCTTTTGCAGTCACTGCTGCCTCACCTTGGTGGAGGATTATCCTGGCTGATAATTTCATCGGTGTAGATCTAAAAACGATATAATTTGGGATGTATCTCCGTGTGCGTGTGGATGTCCGCTCCCCGCCCCTCCCCGCCGAAATCTCGGCTCCCGTACGGGCCTGTCCACAACCACCAAAGCATCATCGTGAAGAAATCGAGAACCCGTGATAGAACGAGGACGGAACCTACCACGAGGCAGTGTTCCCGGCCAAATGCATTGTTGGGCTCACCGCTTGCCCACGGGTGAAAGGCCCACGGGCTTCCATCGAGCCATGCGAAGTCATTGAGGTCGGCGCCGACCTTGAATTTGCGGTAAGATGAAGATTTCCACATACAGTGGTTGAGAGAGCGAGAGGCCGCCGCAAGCTTTCTTGGCCCCCCAGATCTGACCGAAAATCACTATTGCGAAAAATTTGCATGCCAAAGCACACCATATTAGATGAAGTACGCGCTCAGGTTTTGCGCGCAGATGAATTTTCACGGAAGAGATTTCTGGCACAAGTGATTTTCTGAAAGAAGAGTGGCGATGATCGCCACCCGACATTAGGCTCTGATTGTCCAGCCCAGAAATCTTCAGACAAGAGCACTTACACGCTTCGCACCGATCAAGGCGCTAAACATTCTATCGCCTGCGTAGCCGGTCTTGGCGAAACCTGAAACATGTGGAAGCTGTTCTAAAGTAACGATAGGGACAGAAAGAAACAAAACGTATATGTGTTTTTTCTGAATCACACCCAACAATGGATTTTCGAGAATCGCATTTCCGCAATCATCTTTGCAAAAAATTTTTTTTTGAAAAGTCACTCTACCGCAGATATTTTAAAAGTCTGCACATTTTCGCAAATCAAAACGGGAAGAATCTGCACCACCGCTCACCCACCAATGATCACGTCATTTTCCTCATTGGAGGTCACAGATGCGATGGTGGCGCCGAGTGCCCGGCACTGCTCTTCAGCATTTGCAAAGTCGACGTTGTAGACGACCTGATCGTGGATAGTCCTTTGCGACAATAGGTTGTGAAACCTTGTAACAGCTTTTCGTCGTTGTGGCGTACATCCACTCGCTTTCGCACGGGGGCACTTGAGGCCCATTCTGAAAAAGGGAGAGATAGAGAGAGCGAGAGAGAGAGACAGACAGAGAGAGAGAGAGAGAGGGGGAGAGGGAGAGAGGAGAGAGAGAGAGAGAGGGAGAGACGATAAGCGAATTTGTGAGATAAAGGCCATCTCAATAAAAAACACCTCGCTAATTAAAGGAAGAAGTATCGGATCGGAACGATAGTTATTCCGTTCGAAAGCCTTTGAAGCGGCAATGTTGTAACTATCTGCATAGTCATGTTTTTCTTTAACAACGCAACTTTATAAGCTGGTTTGAAGAATTTTACTGTTTTTCAGGGTTTCATACGAGTATTGAATAAAGATCGTCAATATACTTCTGTATACTTCTGTATCGATTTTAGAGAAGGTTGTGTTATTTATTGGGAAATCCTGTAAGACAAGGACCAAGACGGGCTTACCGATTTTTTCTCAATGCACATAATCGGGTACTTTGCATGCCACGAGGCCGTGCTCCACTGCCCGGTCTGCAGGCTCATCACCAGGTTTCCGGACTCGCTTGCTGCTGAGGTATCACGTATTCAAGTTTCGAAAGTCATATTACTATCCCCCACTTTTGCACCGTCAATGATACAACGACCGAATTGCTGGCCTGGGAGGGACCATTAAATAGCCTGTCTCGAGGTTAGTTCTGGCCCTTCACCTATTGGTCTCTTGAGGGTGCTCTTGGAATCCAACGTCATTGAATGCGCATTAATGATCTGCTTCAATACAAACCGGCAGCAAAATTGGCATAAGTTGCGTTGGTCCCGTCGTCCCAAATGATGACCTTTCCATCGTATGTTCCCCCGAGCCAGAAGCCATCGACGCCGCCAAGATTCTAAGTTAGGACCTGCTAATGAGGAGCTAATGATCATCCCTTCCAGTCGCCGGGCGTTACTCTAACAAAGGATATGAAAAAAACTCAAATCGCGTAGCAAGCTAGTTCAATCGAAGAGAGTTGAATTTTACAAAACCCGTCAGGTTTTTTGGAATGTTTCATACCTCGAATTGCGTCCTGGCAAGTTGCAAAACTTTTGCGTTATCGAAAGCGTTCGAAATCGAAGCCATGTACCCTCCGTAACTAAAAATTACACTAACGAAAACGTGCAGCACTCAACTTTTCACAAAACGTCTGGCCATCATTGTAGGTTTGGTTAAGGGCAAATCCAAAATAACAGCTAGCCCCATCCGAGACCTCAACCGACGACTTTGGGCAAAACGCCGGCGATCCTGAAGATAGATTAACCCAAACTAGCGCCTAAAAACCTTGAAGCAGCGCAAGAACGAGGAGCCCACAAAACAGCCTCATCTCCTAGGCAATTTTAAAGTGTTCACGCAGTGGAAGACGCCGTGAAAAATGTTGAAGCCATGATAAGGCAGCATCACCGGGTGCGATACGGCTGTATCACCGGCACCCGGCTAAGCGACTTTTCCTTGCAAGGTGCCCCGATATGTTCTTTGGGAATGGGACAGGTGGCGCCCACGCATGCAGACAAGGCGTGTTTTTCAGGCACAAAATGCAAAACTGAAGCAAAATTGGCGAGATAAAAACGTTAGATTAGTTGAACGAATCATTAACGACATCACGACATGATACTTCGGACATTGTTTTGTTTCCGGTCAAAGTTTACAAAGTTAATGCCATTTCCATTAGATTACGGGGGGGGGATGTCCACGATGGGTTTTATAGTACTGTAATGTACCTCTAGCTCCAGACAACAAATCATAGCGTCTCGTAATCAGGCTAGATGCTCAATTGCCGGATTATCTAGAATAAAACGCACGTTTTGATCGCCTGGTCAAGCTGGAAAAGAAAGACTTTGAATCATGGTGCTTTATGGTGTGTTCAAGTGCAAAGTGTAATGAGTCTCACACAAATTAATACATTTATCGAACCCATGAAACGATCCGTTAGCATCCGGTAGCGGAGTCTCACCAAGCGGCTGTCATCTTAACGCAAAAATCATCTTTTCGAAAATTGCCCTCCAGTCTTACGTTCGGCTCTGAATCCACCGTTTTCTTCAGCGTCTCCACCTCAATTTGCAGCTTTTTCCCAAAGATTTCCATACCCTGGAAGCAGGACTGCAGCTGAAAAAGTAAAGTCAACTTAAGATTACTAAGTTTTACAACCTCTAATGCAGCTTGTTCATTTGCAAGATAGGCGATGCAGGATTGGGTGTCATTTTCATGGAGTCGCATAAACATATCAGGGCTGAAAAGTACCCTCGGCTTCTGTTAAAACAGCTAATGTCCCGCTTAAAACCATAATCCCGAAAGGGAAAATACCGACAGGCGAAAGTTCGGCAGCGAATATACCGACAGACCAAAATTCCGACAACGAAACCTTCGACAGACTATTAACGCGGTGCGAAAGCCACTTCCTTTTAAACGGCGATTTTGCGCGTGTGGTTTTTGGCCATCGGGACCTTGGTTGTCGGGATTTTAGCTGTCGATTTCGACCTGCCTTAATTATAATCGTCGGGATTTTGACGTTCTCCCCCTCCTACCTTTCATCCCAATGAATCAGATGTTTCCCGTTGCCAAGCCATTGCCTGATGACATCTTCTTGGGTGTAATCCATCGGTATATTCGTAATTCGAATCATGGTTCGGGTGTACTAAAATACATTGTTTGTTTTCAGTTTTCGAAGCCTACTGCCTGGTTCCGCTCTAGATTGGCGGAGAGAGCTTGCTCTTTAGCGTCGCATAGTTCCGTGTTTCTTAGTTCTGCCCGCTGCGGGGCATCGTTTAAGGTTTCCAGCTAAAAAAAAACCAGTCTTTTAAAGATTCGCTACTACAATGTGGAAATTCATTCGGAAAAACAGACCTTGACTGAAGCGGAGGGTAATGGATCGCTTGGGGCCTCAGAGTTGAGAATGTCCGGTTCCTCTGCCAGAGTCTGCACCTACAGTAAGAATTCGTAATAGAAAATATGTCTTTCTCTGTCTCTCTCTCTCTCTGTCTTTGTCTCTCTCGCTCGCTCGCTTTCTCTCTCTCTCTCTCTCTCTCTCTCTCTCTCTCTCTGTCGAATTCCGACCATCTCGCCGAAAACCATCTCGCCGAAAAACCATCTCGCCGAAAACCATTTCGCCGAAAACCACTTCGCCGAAAACCATTTCGCCGAAAACCATCTTGCCGAAAACCATCTCGCCGAAAACCATTTCGCCGAAAACCAACTCGCCGAAAATCTAATTTTGCATGCAAATTTTTTCGCGTAGTTGCGGTCATACCCCAGGTCACAAAAAAAGTAAAGAAAGTTGCTTTTTTCAGTGACCCTGTGCCCGGACACTTCCCCTATGATTTGAGGCCGAAAACCGATTGGCTCAGTCATGATCAGTGTTTTTTCCAGTATTAGACCAAAATGGAACAAGCCTGAAAAAGAATTTGCATACAAAATTAGATTTTCGGCGAGATGGTTTTCGGCGAGATGGTTTTCGACGAAGTGGTTTTCGGCGAGATGGTTTTCGGCGAAATGGTTTTCGGCGAAGTGGTTTTCGGCAAGATGGTTTTCGGCGAGATGGTTTTTCGGCGAAATGGTTTTCGTCGAGATGGTTTTTCGGCGAGATGGTTTTCGGCGAACTGGTCCGATACCCTCTCTGTCTCTCTCGCTCTCTATCTCTTTCTCTCTATTTTAGCCCCCCGCCTCCCCAAAAAATAGCAATCCAGCTTGCGTCAAGAGACTTACCGCGGTTCTCTCCTTGAGCGCTTTCAGCCCCCCTGCGAGACGTCGTTGCTCCGTTTGATGCGTATTTTTCCGCCGCAGCTCCAGTTCCGCATGTACTGTTGCTAGCTGTTTTTGCAGCTCCACCACTTCTAGCTGTTTACTGTGCAGCAAGTCTACTTCTTGTGTTATGGTCGGTCCCTGAAACGGTTAAATATGTATGGTTTGGTCAAATCTGTTATTGGCTGTTTTCGGCCCGGCCTAAGCCTAAGCCTATGCCTCAACCTAAGGAAGACGAAGCCTAAGCCCAAGCCTAGGTCTGAGCCCAAGCCAAAGCCTAAGCCAAAGCCTAAGTCCAAGCCTAAGCCCAAGCCTAAGCCCATAAGCTCAAGCTATGCCTAAGCCCTGAGGTCTAATCTGCTTTTTCTGAGTACTTAGGCCTTAAAACTTGCCGGCTGGTATACGCCTTTCCTTTGACATCTCGCAGTCAATGTCTCGTTCCGCTTTTTCAAAAACTTTACCGTGTCACGGAGCATGCCGATCGTCTGGGCGGTCGCTACCTGTGTACTCTAGAGAAAATCATCGTAAAGAATACGAAGTAAGTGCCTTACAAGTTTGGCGGATGGTGCATTAACACCAGCCTGCAAAGTAGGCGCTTTGGTAGGTTGTCGATCATTTGAGAGCTTTATCTAGGCTCGAACATCATAAAGCTACTATTTCCATACCTGGTCAACACCTTCTGGAGCTTTTCCTTCGTATGCTGCTAATCGGGCGCGAAGGCTTGCATTTTTCTCAGCTTCTTCATCTATTGTCCAGTTAGCTCTTGTCACGGCCTGCTCGAGGTTAGCTATTTTCTTAATCTGCTTTTGCACTAGAATATCCTAAAATCATCAGTTTTAAAAGCCATTGGCGAACTGACCGTTTGTATAAACACCCTCACATTATCGGTAGTGGAACGTGGTATCGGAGCTGTACTTCCTCCATTCGACAGTCGCATGATCCGCTCGGACAACTAAAATAAGGGAAAATTATCATAAACTAGCCAACTCAGTTAAGGCAATTGGTACTGGACTGTTAGCGGGGGGGGGGGCGGGGGTGTGATTCTTGGTTTGTCATTTGTCTAGTTCAGTGAATAAGCCATCGTCTATTTTATAGCGCTTTCAGCGATTTTTCATTGCCAGGAAGTGCCAAAAATTTTTTTGAAATTTTATTTTGGATCGATTTTCGTTTATTTTTGAGCAAAAAGTTAAACGTTTCCAAAATGCTATAAGTTTTTCTTCGTAAAAAATGGCACTGTAGTCGCGCCTAAATAAGGTAAATTAATTGTTAGAACGAACCTCCTTCAAAACTTCTTCTGAAGAGCGACTCTTTTCCTCGAGCTCAGCCACTCTGGCCCGGCTAGCGTTCAGTTCTTCTCGCATTTTTTTCACCTTAAATCCCTTATAAAGTCTTCTGTATTCAATTCACATACCTTCACCTGTGATCAGTTGTATGATGGATGGTACATCGTGGGATTCGAGCGACAAAAAGTTATATTAATTTCCGAAGGATACCTGTGCGTTGCTTCTTGGTCTCATGTCATCAAACTCCTGTTTCAAGGCCTCAAGTTCGAGCCGGTACGCTTCCGCTTTTTCGTATCCGGCGCAAGGCAGGCTGGAATTGACCGTGCTTTCCTTTGCGACTACCAAGGCCAGCTTTAGCCGTTCGAGGTCATCTGGAAAATAGCTTTCCGCAAACATTTTGGAATACCTGTATCGATCGGCATTGCATATTTGGTTGGTGTCAGCCAGTTGCAGTGCCAGCAGAAGACACTAAATTAATACAATTTACGCCAAAGAATTTATTTGAAAGTTTAGCTCAGTTGAAAATGTACCCACATCTCCACGGTTTGAAGGCATTTGATACAAACCGGATGCTGGCAGGTCAACTTGCGCCGATGAAGGCCTTCTAAAAATGATGTAATGTAGCTTAGGCTTAGGCTTAGGCCCAGGTTGAAGCTTGGTTTAGGCTTAGGCTTACGATGAGGCTTAGGGATTGGCTTAGGCTTAGCATTGGGCTGAATCTTAATTGACTTAGGCTTAGGCTTGGGCATAGGCTTCAGCTCAGGCTTAGGCTTAGGCTAGGCCTAGGCCTAGGCTTAGGCTTAGTGTAAAAATTCCCGTATCTGTATTCTGTAAAACAAAAACCCACCTTCCCCTCGACAGCCGCCACATTTCAGGATTTCTTCGTCACGTTCGAACCTGTAGCCAATTTCTGGTGCCGGAGCGGATAAAATCGGGCCCATCTCGGCGAGGAGTAAAAACCCCGAAAACCCTTAACATTCACATAAAATCATCGCGGTAAATAATTGCGAAGGAAAAGGAGAGCAAATTAAGAGAAATGTAAGTAAAAGATGTCGATGATGGAAATAGAGATAAGATCACGTTTTAATGGCCAATCGGATAAGGGAATTCCCAACCACGAAACGGATTTTTTTTGCCTTCACAGTGACACCTTGGTCCAAAAAACAGTGGAAAAATCAAAAAATGGGCTCTTGTCAACCTGCTAGGAGCGCGTCATTCGAGTGCATCTTCCAAATTTTCGCCCGGTTTTTGATCGATATTATCACCTGCTCGATTGCGATGTATATATCTGCATCTTTGGCATATTTTGAGCAGCACTAATGTATTCTTTGCTTTGCTTCTATCGTTGTGATACCTAGTTTAGGTGAGGAAAATTTGGAAAATACATCTGGACAGGCTTGGAACACTAATGCCAAGATACCAAATAGCTTTCGCAATGGTAAATTACGATTTATACATATGTAATGCTCAGCATATCGATCGGTAAATTTAATGAAAACCAAATATCCGATCGTTGATAATAATAGATGGTGCTTCTAACGGGTGGGCTATTCTCCGGGTGTCGGGTCTTCCAGGGTCAGACACATCTAAATCATCGGTTTTTCGAAGGCTTCTTAAATTCTAAAACTTGAGCTTTCTGAAGCCCAGAGGTTCTGAAGAAACCAAAGTTCTTCTGAATTTTACAAAAGTTAAAATAAACTTACATTTAGCTCAAAGCCGTCTGCGTCATACGGCGTTTCGGCCCATTCGCCAGGTCCTTCCGAGTATTCCTCTCCGATTGCCCGTTTGAATCGTATCTAAAATGTGATCTAGAGAGTAAAAGCCGAATAGAAAAATTTTTGAAATTGAAAATTTTAGATTTTGAACATTTTTTGAAATGAAAGCGGCCAATTGACTGCCAGATTCGGAATCAGCCAAAAATTCTGCATAAAATGGGCTCGGTCCCGGGTGGAAACTCGACCGTCGCTATAAACGTCTGCTTGTTAGTAGACTTTATATCCTACTATATATAAAAAATAGTTCCTGTGTGTGTGTGTGTGTGTGCATTTGAATGCAACTTCCGTCACCGTGTCCGGAGGATATCTCAAGAGTGGAAGGGCGTTAGGCTATGTATGATACGTCATTAGGTGCGTAACGTCCCCGAGATGACTGCACGCATATCAGATTTTGCAAATTATGCTATTTTCGACATTAAAATTGAGTTTTTGTTGACAAATCCGGCAGCCTTCTTTGTTCGGAAATAATCAGCATACGCCGGAAGTGGCGGAAGCCTATATACAGGGTGCGGCAAAAGTATTGTCGCGACTTTCCGCCGAATGTATCTGCGAGGAAATGTGACAGATATTCTAGCCAAAAATCTATCTTATGCAGTTTTTAATGCTTGATCCGATGATAAGTTTTACTTCCAGAATTTTTGCTTTTTTTGTCGCTAGGACAACTTTTTCCAATAAACCCGGCAAATTCAAGCCTAAAAACTGCTTTTTAGACCCTCTCTAGGTGGCCAAAGAATGGTATCTACGCCAAGCTTCTTATTTAATTTGAAAGAGCATGTAAAACTCTGCCTGAGAAACCATCAACCAAAGAATGTTGCCGCTCCTTTTTTGAGGGAGCCCTATCCAAAGAAGAGGCAAACCCAGTGCGCCGCACATGGCCGCCCCGTACGCAAAAAGCGAGATTGTGTCGTCCGCAAAGCAATGATAGCCTTGCTAATTTTTCTCTGGTTGATCCATGCTACTTTTTATAGATTCCCGAAGTTTGAGCCTAGTAATCCTGACCTGGTTCGAAACACAAAGCTTCCATGACTGCTTGCAAATGCAAAATAATTTTTTTAGAACCAGCGGTGGATAGCGATCAGGATTTAGCGCATCATGCACATTAAAATAAGCAAACTGGAAATATAATAATATACTGTTACGTCATCCCCTGAGACCTCCTTCAGAAACTAAAAACCCAAAAACCCAAGTTTCTCGCGAAACCGTCCAGATTAGCCCATTTTCGTATAACATGACTGAGGCCATAACTCCTTCAAATCACAAAATTATAAGATTTCCATTTTGGACGACGGAGAACAAAGCAAATGCTACCAGAAACACATATGAAAAGACATGGTCCCACGTAGTCTCCGAATTTAGAACCCTATTTCGACGAACTGAGGACGCGGCGCACCGTGATTTTTGGTCGTGTACATCATGCAATGAAAATCGCTCAAAAATCATGATTCCAAGAAACTTTCAAAAGCAGATTGCTGCCTTGGACTTGTCTGAAGCTAATCCTGTTGACAAAACTTCCCGATTTTTGTCGCGGATAAGATATGTGGCAAAAGCTCGCGACAATACTTTTGCCGCACCCTGTATAACGTGACAGAGTGGAATTCCTCATTTTTCCCCATAGGAATTCGAGAGACGTATGCAGAGTGAAGAATTTCATCAAGTTAGACGGGGCCAGGGTTGAAAAGTCGCGAAGCGGCTTTTCAACCCTGGTTGAAATTATAATCCCTGCCTGCCGGCGGCTTGTAGCTGACTGTAGGTCAGGGTCGTCGGCTTGATATTCGGCGCGTTCGGCCTTTCTTCTCACGTATACTGCCAAAAATTTGACCAATCCGTCAATAACTTCTAAAAATTGAGTAGGCTTTCCAAATTCCGTTTCTTACCAAATTTGGTCGACGTGGACTCGATCACCGGGTGATGGCAATTTGCGCAGTCCAGACTAAAGCACGAACTTATTTTGAATTTTAAATTTATTTCTAACCATCGAGGTATACCAATGGTTACGAAATTACGAATTTACGAAAACTATCCGTCTCCCTGAAAATTCGAAAAAATCCTTACTTTCTCAGTTCGAGCAGCAGATCGACGGCGGAAGCACACTGTGCCTGAAGCTCGTCTGCATGACTCTTCCAGCGACCCACCTCAGTGCCAAGTTTATGAATCTGCAGCGGAATCACCTGACGCCGTATTTTTTAGCATACCTTCGCCTTGTTGCTAGCTTTCAGCCTGTTTTTCCCTTTTTGCAACGCATGCTGTAAGAAAGTACGCTTTGAATTTTCTCAACGATACCTGGCCTGTACGCAGCGTAATGTTTTCGCGTCTCAGAGCATCTACCTTGCGTTCAAGATGTTCTCTGGCCTTAAAAACGCGATTGCGTGTACCTTCAAACGTACCGGATTCACTTCTTCTGCTTCGGCCTTCCGCGCTTGGATCAACTTTTCAAGCAACACGTTCTGCGCGTTTGCTGCATCTATTCTCCAATTTAGCTTGATCACCATCTGCTCAAGACTGGTGACGTGCGCCTCCTTCTCTAGCATCAGACGTTCCTGAAAGCGGAAGGTTTGAAACGGGGGAAGAGTTGTACTGGGTGTCCCAATAAAAAAAACACCCCTCTCTAAGCGACGCAGAAGTATCGGAACGGAATGGCAGTTATACCATTTGAAAGCCCTTGAAACGGCAAGTTTGTAACAATCTCAAACCACGTTTTTATTTATACGCGTCGTTTTACAAGTCATTTTGTAGAAATTTGCGGTTTTTCGAGGTTGCACGCGAGTTGATTTGCCTCAATTTCTTCAAACAAAATGACCGGAAGTGGCCGTTAATTAGATGGAGAGGCCGTTGCTTAATGTTTTTAAATGATTTGTAAAATGGTACGTTTAAATAAAAACATAGTCTTAAAAATTGTTACAAATTTGTCGTTTCATGGGCTTTCGAATGGTATAACTAGCATTCCTATCCGACGCTTCTACGTCGAGTTACAAAGGGTGTTTTTTATTGGCACACACTGTGTGGCGTAATTTCTTGTAAATCGTTCAATGCATAGAACTGATGACTTTGGGGTCAATTCTAAAATTGAAAATGATTAAATTAATTGGCGAATCGATTAAAATAATTAAAACTGGCTGAGGATTCCACAAAGGCCGACGGAATTCCCGAATTCACGCATTTTTACGTCTACATATGCGAAGAAGTGCATGCAAAAACATGACATTTTGGAAAAATGCTGAAACCGACCCGTTCCTGCTCATTTTTTCGACAAAACTCCAGTTCGCCCGTCACTGTTGATAGCTGCTCGCTTAGGTCATCGATTTGTTGTTGTTTCAGGTCGACTTCGGCCGAGGTTGAGGCGCGCTAAAAAGGGAAACAGATAACGTAAGTTCTCTGATCAGTCCAGCAAATTAACACCTCAAAAATGCGCGCTAAGTGGGCTTCTTGCCATTTCCCATAGCAAAATGTCGCAATTTTTTTCAGTTTTTGACAATTTTCGTTAGAAAGCTCATTCGAAACAAGTGGCAAGTTTTCAGGCAATATCAATTCCGGGTTATTGGTGATTTCCCTAGTAATATACCTCTTTAAGCACCTTAGCCATGTCGCCAGCTCTGACTCGTCGTCTAGTTCTTTTCGACATGGCCTGCAGGCATATGTGTCTTAAATGTTATAAAAATGCCTTACCTTTTGATTCCTCAGCCTCCAATTTTTAGACAACAGCGTTTCTACCTGCAGCTTCAGGGCGGCGTTCTCCTCGCGGATTGCTCCCGCGTCTTCAGGATCCGCCCAAATCAGGGCAGCTACATCTGACGGAAGCATGGGTTCGTATTCCCGCTTCGGCATGAGTAAAGCTGCAGGAGCCAGATTTTAAGCTGAATTTTTCAAAGCTGTTAAGTTGCAGATGGTTTAAACTTGTTTCTATGGCATAATTTACATACTGGATGGGCTGATTTAATAGCAAAATTGTGGTAGTTTTCGAAACACATTTGCCAGGCACGCATTTTTTTTGGTTTTTGAAATTCCTCCATTTCACAATTTTACATGCAAATTAGTAAAAATCCTTAACAAAATCGCCACGGTGGCGTGGTGTCCGGAAGAAGCCTACATAGAATTTTGGTCTGTAGTTTGGACCACTTCTGGGTTCGGATCCGGGGCGACTTAAACTTGTTTCTTTTTGGTAGTTCCACAACAAAACAAATTTCTAGGCTCTTGGTGTTCGAGGTTTAGGCCTGGCCCCGCTCTAGCGCCGCAGGCTAAAGAAAAGGTCCTAGGCCCAGGCTCTAGCGCCGCAGGCCAAATCCGGGAGAAAAAGCAGTAACTAGCGCCGCAGGCTATAAAAAGAAAGGTATTCAAATTCATGGTTCCTGGACGGGGTCCAGTGGAAAAGGGCCGCGAAGCGGTCGTTTTCCACTGGTTTCAAGATAACAACGCAGCGTTGTTTGCTTCCTTCGAACCGAGTGCTCGAAAAACGGCTGTGATCATAGTGAATGGTTTTCTGACCAGCCAAAAATTACGCAAGGTTTAGCCGGGTGATAGCATATGCTGATGCTGCCATTTGAAACCCCGGGTGGACAGCGTGCACAATTGGCCCCAGGCAATAGCGACCCGATCGAACAGGCGCGTAAAAACGACCCAGTGGGCACGGCGCACTTGTTCGACCAATGGTCTTGATGAGATGCGATGTATCCGATAATTGAGGCGTTAAAAACCTTTATAAAGAGACACACCAAGGGAAAAAGGTACGGTATCAATTAACAAATCAAAGAAAATCAGCACGTTGATTTGTAGTGTGTTTTTTCATCAGAAATCAGCTTCTACGTCATTGTTTGGCTTCTAAAAAATATAAGCTTTTGATGCGGAGAACGTTACAATCCTGACCTTCTGGTTATCATCCAGCTGCAGCATCGAAATCGCTTCCTTAAGCTTCGCAACCGCCTGTTTCTGGCTCTAAAATGTCATAATTTTTGAATCTGAAGTTTTGTACCCTACCAACTCCTTGGCCTCGCGGCCCGACAATTTTTCTTCTAGCGCTTTCACCCTGGTCTCAAGCGCTTTTTCCTGAAAACAGGGTTTAAGTGGGAGAGAAAAAGCGCTACCTTCTCTTCATAGCTCTTCCGCTTCTTCTCCCAGTCCTTTACGCAAAAGTCCTAAAAAATAGATGATTGATCGATTTTCTAAAAAACGGCTTACGCGGTATTCCTTCAACGACGCACATTTTCGCTCGAGTTTTTGAACCTGAAAAAATCGTATTTTTTTGAGGGATATCAAGAAGAAGAAAAATTAGGAAAATTTTTTCAAGGCCTACCAGCTGGTCTTTTTCGGCTTCCAACTTTGTGCAGCCCTCGCAAGGCGTTTCCGTGCCGGGCTCTTCAGCTAATTCCCACCCTTCTTCGTCGTCAGAACTTTCCAGCTCTTCAAGCTGGTGCTTTTGCATTTGTTTGCGATTCATTTGCTTCCTATTCTTGTTCTTCTTCTTGTTGGTCGTTTTTGTACTGCCACTAGCCGCCTAAAAACTGTAATTAGCCTTGATAACGTATTTTCACCAATTTTCCACTTTTCCATTTTTCGCTTTTACGGATTATACTTTTATCATGACGCTATTCTAATAAAGTGAGGATCGTAGTTTATTAATCGATTAAAATGTCGAGGTTTTTAGACAAACTTACGAGATTTAGCCTAAATCACTCAAAATTGCAGCGCAAACCTTAAGCTAATGCTCTTTAAGTAATTGATGAATTTTAAACACAATTGGAGAAAAATCCGAAGAATCTACTTTAAAAACAAAAATAATAAATCGATCGTAGGGAATGAAGTATTTTATCGATACCTTTGATCCCCACTTCAACAAGTGCCGCTTAGCCGGGTCGGTGTTGACGTAATCTGAATAGACTTTTAGCAAAAATGGATAAATTCAGCTTACCAAACAACTTCCGCATGGCCGGCATTAGTCGGTTTGTTTCCGCAATATCCCTAGAAAAATTACTCGCAAAAAAAAATATAAAACTTACCGCACCCATTCATCAGCACACCCAACGCAACTGACGGAGCCGTCGGGCATCCAATAGAATTTGATTTTGTCCATTTTCCTCTCGAGTTTTACTAAACTTTCGGGTTATGAAATCGCGGACAAATGGGTTTTTTAGTTTCTTGGGTTGCCTAACGAAATCCTAAAATCAGAACCTGGAATTCTCAAAAATACCGAATTTACAGAATCTCGAGAATCTCGAGAATCTCGAGGGAGGTAACGAAAGACGTCCAGGAAAAATGCAGCGACTAGCTATTTTTATGCTAGGGAATTACGACTTTTGAAAATTCGAGATGTTTTAAATTCGAGATTTTCAAAATTCATGATCTCGAAAATCATTGATTTCGAAACTTCGAGTTTTAGAAAATCCTGATTTGGAAAATCCGAAATTTCAAAAATTCGATATTTTCCAAATGGAGATTTTGAAAATTCAAGTTTCAAATATTCTCAGGTTTTTGGTATAAGACTCCAAAAATTCAAGCTTACCTCCGACATTCTGGCAGAATCGGCACGCCTTGATGTCCTAAAAATAGGAAAAAAAATCAGCATTTGAGTGATCGTCCTACCCTCTCGTCGAACCTGTCCGGCACGCCGGCCATCCAGCCATGTTTCCGGAAGTTGACGTTCCAGGGTCGAGAGTCCTGTTTGTCCCATTTCAAGCACAATTCGCATTTGTAGCGACTGAAAAAAGTTGGGATATATCGTATTTCCAAGCCCATATAGAAATTATGATAGCGGGGGTACTATAGGAAATACCGTGTTTATGTTACTAGGAATGATTACCATTTTCTGAATCAATTAAGCCGACTTACAGCGGATAGCTCAGGTGAAGACACCTCGGGCAGCAAACATGCCCACACGGCAACCGCAACGAGTTCATCACGTTGTCCAGATTCGTGTCGAACAAATTGCAGAAGCAGCAGTAGCCGTATGGCAGGTCCTCTTCGTCGTCCGGGATTTTCTTGGTCTCGAATTTCTTGAGTTGGGCCTAGAAAAATTGGTATAGTTGACGCGTTCCTGTTTTCATGGGCAACACACTGCGTACTTAAACGTTAAAGATACCTCATGGTCATAGGGCTTGAAATTCTGCATCGATTTGAACGTCGCCATCCTGTTTCCGTCTGAAAGTAATGATAAATGGTACGATATCAAAGTAGTTATCAATCATAAGTATATCAAAGTAGAAGTAATCAAAGGAAAGGTAAAGTAGTGGTGTACGCAGTCCGGCTCGGATTCAACTCGAAGGGCAAAGGAGCTAGAGCTTAGGTCTTTTCGGAATCGGCTAGAGCGTGGTCAGAAACTCCCAAACTGACCAAAAAAATTGTAAAAGTTTTAGGTTAAATTATTAAATTTAACTTTGAAAGTTTTTTCGTTAGTAAGAGGGGTCGGGGACGGAGGCGGGGGTGATTTTGGACTTAGTGAGCCAGGTGGTGCGCGTTTCGGCGAGGGGAGGAACCCAGGGGGGTAGCCCGAAGTCCAGCCGCTTGCCGGCTGGTTAAAGTAAGAAGCAAGATTTAATAGAGGGGAAAAACTTTTGTAAAATGAGGGACTTTGAAAAGGGAGAGTGAAGATCTGGTAGGAAATGCGGGCCAGCTGACCTTCTCCGGGGGCAGATACGTCAGCATCTGCCAGCTATCACAAATGGGCCAAAAGGTCGGGGAGGCACACTAAAGTCCTTTGATATAGTTCTACATTCCGCTAAATTCAGCGCTATCAATGCAGATCAGTGATAGGCGCCTTATTTGATTATTGAGACACCAATGGCCGGCAGACCATGTTTTGGCAATAAGGCAGGACATCGAACAAAAATGATCCACTCCGCCAGCGGTGCACGGGCGTTTGCGAATTTTACGCACTAGGTATCTACATGGCGAGTTCATGTATCCCAAAGATTTTTAAAATTCCTGCGTTTTTTGTAGAATTACCAGTTTTTTTTTTGCCAAAAGCTCGGTGGAATAGACAATGATATCAATTCTCCAAGGGCCTGAAAAAGCCCCTTAAAATTTCAAATTCCCTTGAAAGCACGTTCTCGAGTGTTACTGGGGCGAATTGAATGGTTACAAGACAAAACGATTGCAAATTGAATGAGGGTTGTTAGAAACGGGCTCAAAATCTAAGGATTATAGGGTTTCGCAACGTTTTCTTTGAAATGGCATATGGCAAAAATCGGAAGACTCGCCGATTTTCGTAAAATGCCCAGGATTTCCCAGAATTTTTTGAAAAAATATACGCTCGGCCCAAAGGGACTTCGCTACTAGACTTGACAATTATAGATGTCAATCGTATCTTATCCCCATACCAGTGGAAAAAGACCGCTTCGCGGCCATTTTCCACTGGACCCCGTCCAGGAACCCTAAATTTCAATCCCTTCTTTTTTTAGCCTGCGGCGCTAGAACCCGAGTCAAGGAGCTATTGTTTGGCCTGCGGCGCCAGAGCCAGCGTTACGCTAGAATCTTTGAGCCTGCGGCGCTAGTTACTCGTTTTTCTCCAGGATCTGGCCTGCGGCGCTAGAGCCTTGGCCAAGGAAGGTCCTTTTGTTTAGCCTGCGGCGCGAGAGCCCGAGCGAGGGGGCTTTTCTTTGGCCTGCGGCGCGGTGCGGCCATGTTTTGTAGCCGAACTACCAAAAAGCAAAAATTTAAATTCTCCCAGGATCCGAACTAATGACCTCATGCGTGGTAGACCGAGCGCTAATCCACCACACTGCGGAGCACATGGGCAGGAGCGGCGGGAAAGGCCTGTTCGGTCCCGGGGAGCCGCGCGCAAAGATAAGGGTGACCAATCTTCCGGAGGGAGGCCTTCTGGTCAGTTTACAAAATTCGATTTTTTTAGTCTGAATCTGTCGAAAATTTGCAAAGATAATAAGATGCGCATGCTCCCCACCCTTGATTGCATAAACGGTCCAAATTTCAGCCCGGCATTCCATCAGGGCGTCGAGTTATGGCCTGGACACCACGGCCCGTTCCGCGATTTATTAAGGACCTTGCAGAAAAATCCTTATAAAAACTTTATCTTAAAGTTTTTTGCAAAATCCGTAAAAATGAATCTGGGGAATTCCTTTTCCCATCTACCCTCCAAAAATGAGGCCCCAGTTCCCTCTAGGGGCCGAGAAAAGTTCCGGACAAAGTGCGCACCCAAAAATGTTAAGGATTTTTCACATTTTTGTTTGTAAAATCGTTAAATCAAAGAATTTCGAAAAATCCAAAAAACCGTTTTTTATAAATGGCATTTCCCACCCCCATTCCAAAAATCAGCTCGAAATTCGGCCTGACGGCCGAGAAAACGGCCGTACAGAAAACAAACATACTTTTCTCGCTTATAGGATAGGATAAATCATAGGCCAATCGATGTAATTGTTCAATTATTTATTAGAGAAAACAACAGCAAACGCAAAGGTCAGGGGATATTGTAGCGATTATCTCCTCAGGCTTGGCCATTCTTCGGCGCTCGAATTTGGCAATGTCGGGCACATCTAAACCATACTTTTCAGTATTTTCCTGCAAAACTTACGTTCGGTTCGAATTCGGAGCCTTGCTGAGGCTGATTGGTCCACTTCCGAAGTGGTTCCGATTTTTTCGCGCCGCTGTTCAACATCTGTAGTTCTTCCGACAGCTTTTCTCCCTAAAAGAATCAAGTTAAACAATTTATACAAGTAAGGGATTTAATTTTATCAGGTGAACGCTACTTACCTGAGCATGAGCTTCATGGACCCTGTCGAATCGTCGGCCTTGACCGGCCAATTGTCTCTTCAAGCTAGCGCAGTTTTCCGTTTCTTCATCTATCCTCCCGCACAGAGTCTTGACGACTTCTTCTAGACCAGCTTTTTCTTCCTTGGCTTTCGCTAGTGCTGCCTCCTAAAAATTAACTTTTTGTAGTATGAAAATTTTTTTAAACTCACCAGTTCCTGTATCTTTGTGTTGTTTTTAGCACAGGTATCACATATGGTGGGCCGGGGCTTCGGAATCGGCATAAATCTGGCGATCTTTTTCTGGAAAAGGGCTATAAATTTGTGTTACACCTGTGGTTTTAAAGGTATCATGATGTCAGCAAAGCTCATATCCAAATTTAAGTTGGTGTCATTTTTTTCCGAGCTACCGTCGTTTTTAGTAGCATACCTTTTCCGTTGGCTTGTTGGTCACCGACTGCAATACGATTTTTGACACCCGAGCGGCGATCGTACTTGCTTCCGTCGCTGCTGCCTGATGACAATCCACGCAGATGACGCTAAATTTTAAGGTAAATCAGGATTATTATTTTCAGGTCGTTGGAAGTTGTAGTGTCGGCGTTAATTTTGTGGAATTCCGATTTGGCCGAAATTTCATTACACTGTAGTCTCAAAATTCACCATACTGATGGCAAATCAATAGACCAGACTTACCTAGAAATTTCAACTTGGCATTTGCTACACATCGGCTGCCGGGAAACCATCTGGTCTTGATAAAGCCAACCTAGAAAAACGGATCCTGCCGGAACGATGCGAAAAAAAATACCATCTCGCTGCCAAAGATCCATTAGCGGGACGGGTTTTTCACCTTGGGAACTGGGTCCAGGCAAACTGGGCATGTAAGTGGCGGCACCACATCCCTAAAACAGCAATTTTTTTGAATAAATTAGATGGCTCAATGCACCAATTTTCATTAAATTAATATAACCAAATCCATACCGCCGCCGTATTGCTCACTAGCTGCTCGAGTAGCTCGTCTGTCAAACGTACGTTACGGTCTGCCAACTAAATGGAAGAAATGAAAGCGGAATGATTTAAATTCAAGTAGCCCAGGTACTGCGCACTTACCGTACACAATAGCTTAGCTGTCGACTGGTTCTGTTTCAAAAGTTCCTCCACTTGACGTTTGGAGCTCACTAGCTCATTTTTCAAGGCTTGAACCTGAATTTTTGAGTACCTATTCGGAAAGTGCTTAAAAATTAGATACCTCGCATTCATAGTTATTCTTGTTACTCTTTTCGTGGTTGTTCTTATCCAAAGCCCTCTGTAACAGGATATATCTGATTTTTTACGTGCTCGACACCTACCTCTCGCCTGAATTTGAACGATAGGGCCATGTGGTAATCGTCACAAAACTCCATGTATTTTCTTTGTCTTTTTAATACGCCAGATTTCTCGAGTCGCTGTAGATCTTCTGAAAACTGTTGTTGCTCATTGAAAAATTGAGCCCTAACCTTGATCGAGTGGGGTTGAGCTGCTGACTGGTGATCGTTCCAGGCAATAGGTGCATTGGATACTAAATTTCATGTTTTTTACGATAAGAGGAAACGCGAGAGTGAGAGAGAGATAGAGAGAGCGAGAGAGCGATAGAGAGAGCGGGAGAGAGAGAGAAACAGAGCGAGAGAGAGAGAGACAGACCTGTATGCTTCCTCCAAACATTCACTACAAACCGGATGTAAGCAACGCAACTTCCGCTCATGAAGCTCGTCTAAAAAGCTATGAATTTTCAAGGAAAAAAAATCACATTTTCCTCGGCAACCGCCGCATTTCAACAATCTGCCGCCGCACTCGAATTTGTAGGCTGTCGTCTGGTATCCAGGCGGTGCTTCGCAGACCCACGCCATCAGTTAGAAGCTGCGTTTAAAGGTGGTTAAAATGTGAGATTTTACATGGTAAGTGGCTTATTACTTTTTATGAAGAAAAAATATGCTGAATAATTGGTAAAAACTAGGACACAGGACAAGTGATATTTGATAGGATTACCTATCATTATCTCGAAAATCAACATCTCGAAAATCAACATCTCGAAAACAAACATCTCGAAAGTTCATTATCTCGAAAGTTCATTATCTCGAAAGTTCGTTATCTCGAAAGTTAATTATCTCGAAAGTTCGTTATCTCGAAAGTTCGTTATCTCGAAAGTTCGTTATCTCGAAAGTTAATTATCTCGTATTATTATCTTTCTACTCGAATACGAGATAATTAACTTTCGAGATAATGAACTTTCGAGATATTTAGCTTTCGAGATAATGAACTTTCGAGATAATGAACTTTCGAGATAACGAACTTTCGAGATAACGAACTTTCGAGATAACGAACTTTCGAGATGTTGATTTTCGAGATGTTGATTTTCGAGATGTTGATTTTCGAGATAATGATCAATCCCCAT